GACTTGTACAAGGTGATGCGTGAGCAGATCAAGTACGACGAGAACTTCACGTCGCTGCAGATGAGCGCGTGGGAAGGATGGCAGTTGGATCTCCAGGAGTTGATCTTCTCGTCCGTGTGTACGGACATGGGCCAGCAGCTCATGGACATGAAGGATAGGTCTGCCATGTGGAAGTACCTCTATAACCGGTACGAGGGCTCGGCGAACGACCAGACCAAGGCTATGACGAAAAGCAGCTGTACGCGCAGCTGGAGTCTGCCAAGTGCAAGCAGAACGGTAAGATCGAGGCGCATCTGAACTACATGTGCATACTCAAGGGGAAACACAAGACAGTCGGTATGAGTGTGGACGACGCCGTGTTCAGCGGAATGCTGGTGGCGTCGCTACCCTCCAACGAGCGGTTCGACCGTTTGGGAGGTTTTGTGGACGCCGGGATGGACTGCGTAGCCACATGGTATCTATGGCGGTGACTTTTGACAAAGCCAACCAGATCGACGAGCAATTGCATCGATCGTTTGGTGCCAAGCAGTCTTCTGGTCAGCAGAACAAAGGAGGAGGAGAAGGTCATGGAAAAGGTGGACACGAGAAAACAAGTTCAAAGGGACAGGGACAAGGAAAGTCTCGGTCGTGTTTCGTGCGCGGTAGTACCGACCACCTGAAAGTAAACGGTCCGGAGCGTGCGAAGAAGCAGAGTGGGGCCGATGACAATGAGCTGAGAAGGACACCACAGGGCAACTGCACACTTCGACGCAATGGCAATACGTCACCAGTTGTGGCGCTAAATGGCGAGCAACTCACCACAGAAGGCGTGGTGACGAGCATGGCGATGCCCAGACAACAGGAGGAGCCTCATGGAGATGAATCTGGGGATGGTCGAGAAAATGAGGTTGAAGAAGAACACCGAAAGCTTGGTGGTCAAGAAGGAGCTCATACACGTGGCTCATGGTGGTACTTAGACACAGAGGCTAACTCACATGTGACTGGGCTTCGATCTCGCTTTGTGCCCTTTACCGAAGGCACAGAAGTTGCGAGGATAGTTCGAGGATTGTCACCACACATCATTTCACAGATCGCTGGTATGGGCACGATGGCATTAGTGAACGAAATTGATGGACAGGAAGTCGTCATGCTCATTGATGATGTATTCTACGTACCAGATGCAGAGTTTAGACTGTTTCCCTCAGGATTGGCGTATGAGCAAGGGTTCGAGATGGACTACGACCAAGACACTCGAAGCTTCACAATATCTTGGGAAGGGCGACGAGTCGTTGTGGCCAACCTGCAGGAAGCAACGTGAGGTTTTCAAGCAATTCATCCTTCTAATGGAGGTGTTGTGGGGCCAGAGGACCGGTCTTTGGCAAATTACACGATGGCAGAAGGAGTTGAAACTCTGCAACGCTGGCACGAACGCATGGGGCACATCTGTCCGCAGTATCTTAAGACTATGGTGGATAGGGGACTCGTGCAGGGCACGATGTTGACCCAGCGCCAGCAAGACACGTGTGACGCATGTCAATTGGGCAAACAGAAGAAGAAAATGCATCGTAAGAAACTGGATAGAGCTACCAAGGAGCCGAATCAAGTGGTTTACGCGGATTTACTTTTCCCAAGTAAAGGGAATGGCAGCAGGTTTGAGGCTGTCTTGGTGGCCATGGACGGATACTCCCGATTTGTCACGGTTCACATGCTAAAGAACAAGTCGAGTGAGGTCGTAAATAACTACTTGAAGGAAAATGTTCTCTGGGCTGAACGTCAAGCTGGTAGAATGATCCAGAAGGTGATCACGTTCACGGTGAAGCAAGTACTCACAGACAAGGGTGGTGAGTTTGTGAACGAGGCCATGGAGACGTGGTACAGCTCGCGGGGCATCGAGCACATCCAAGTGGGGCCAAAAAGCTCGCAGTTGAACCTGTGTGAGCGGACGCACCAGTCGCTGGTGGAGATGACTAAGGCCATGATCGAGCAGTCTGGTCTTCCTCGTAGTCTATGGCCAGATGCAATGAGGAACGCTGTGTATATCAAGTACAGGTCCTACAATAGGGGAACGCAGAGAGTCCCGTACGAGATGTTCTTCGGAGCCAAACCAGACGTGCACCTATCCGGATATTTGGGTCGGTAGCGTATGCACACGTTCCTGTGACGCCGTGCCGGCGCAAACGCGACAGTAATGCCAAGCTAGGCTACGGGCTGGGCTACGCAGAGAACGTGGTGGGCTGTAAGGTCTACTTCCTTCTGAACATACTGCGAAGTTCGTGTCTGACCTTCGAGTGGCCGAGAAGGTGGTTTTCCGAGACCGGCATGAAGTTGACGAAGAAACTGTTGACTGGTCATCACTTAATTTCTCGACGAAAGAGCAGGATGAAAACTGTGGCGTTGAGAATGTGGATACCGAAATGATTACGGTTGCAGAGTCAATGGCGGCGAACGAGATTAACAGAGATGAATCTCTTGAACTCGAGGAGGGGATAAAGACGCTCGAGAGGAAGACGAAGCCGGTGATATGCTGCAGGAGGGAGAAGATCCAGTGCCTGAAAATCAGGTTGTTGCTGGAGGTGAACAGTTTTGCAACGAAGAAATGAGTGGATTACAAGATGCTCACCCAGCGAACAAGGGTGTAAGACCTTCTGAAGACGATCAAGTGACCGAAGGATTATACACAAGTCAGGCTGAAGAAACTGAAGCACAAGGATTGGATATTGAGGTAGCAGACGGTGAAGAAAACGAGTCAGTGGTTGGCACGTGCGGATCGTCCGTAGCGGACGAAGACCCAGAGGATGCAGAAGAATATGGAACTGCTAGTGACGAGGACGCACAGTGGCAAGCGACTTTGCTGGAAACTAGAACAGCGTGGATGATCATATGGTCACATGCATCGATAGTGCATCAGGACTGGAAGAGGACACTAAAGAAGTCGATGATTCTGATGAGGAGAAAATTCATCTAATGGAAGTCATTGATGCAAATGAAATGTTCTCTCAGTTCCCGCGCCAGGCTGGGAAACGCAAGCACAGAGATGAGACTCCATCGGAGGAGGAGAGAGTCGAGAAAAGAGCGGACAAACCGGAACCCAAGCGGATACGCCCCGGGCTACGCGAGGGCCACGAGGGTCAGCGACCACGCTACCTGGACGACTACGTCGTGAATCTCACGCTGAACAATTCACGGGTGCTAGACAAGAATGGTCGTCCTATCCGGGCGAGTGAAGTCAGGATCCCGCAGAACCGACGAGAGATGCTGCGCTCCAAGTGGCTAGAGTTTTTCCTGATGGCGGAGATGGATGAGATGGCAGCTCTGAAAGCCAAGGGTGTAATTGAGGAGATTCCTGAAGACGAGGTCCCCGAGGACGCAAAGCCTGTGAACACCATGTGGGTATACGCTCTGAAGTCTGATTAATATGGATATGTGGTTAGATTCAAGGCGAGACTTGTGGCTCTAGGTAATTACCAGCATCCGGGTATTGACTTCCGCGAGACATTTGCACCAGTGGCGAGGTTATCGTCCTTTCGATTGCTGATGGCTATAGCAGCTGAGCTGGAGCTAGATGTGTACAGTGGGGACATCAACACAGCATATTTAAATGCGTGGTTGGCTATCCGGCAGTACCTGCGTTCGATAAACGGGTACCCATGCCGAGTGAGTGGACACAGTATGTAGTACTCAAAGCCTTGTATGGATTGCATCAGTCAGGGCGTGAGTGGAATTTGGAGCTGAACCAGTGGTTCCTGGATCGAGGATACCAACGCTCACTTACTGAGCCCTGTTTGTACTTCAAGTTTGAAGGAGAGACTATCGTATACGTGTTGGTCTACGTAGACGACACTTTAGTTGCAACAAATGAAGAGTCATACAAGGAAAAGTTGTTCAAGGACTTGAACGAAGCGTATGGCCTGAAAGACCAAGGGAGGTTGACGCAGTATCTTGGGGTTGAGGTGCAACAGACCCGTGAAAGCATCTAGATCAGCCAAGAGAAGTACTCGCGAGAAATACTGGAGAAGTTTGGATACCAAAATGCACATGCTGTCGGGAACCCCATGGAGACAAATGTGAGATTTGCACCACTGGAGAAGGATACGCAGTCTGATACTAGTTTCCCGTACCGTGAGCCATAGGTATGCTAATGTATCTGGCCACCAGTACGCGACCGGATCTGGCTTTTACGCTGGGTCAATTAAGCCGATTTGTGGCAAACGCGTCGGCGAAGCATGTAGGCGCTGTAAAAAGAGTGCTCCGGTATCTTGCTGGTACATTAGACTACGGGATCACCTATACTAAAAAGCATGCAGCGGGTGATATTGTGTTGGAAGGTTACTGTGACAGCGACTGGGCAAATGATCCTGAGCAGCGGAAGAGCACGACAGGGTTTGTCTTCTTACTGGCAGGAAGTGCTATAGCGTGGATGACTCGCCGGAAGACGATAATTGCGTTATCTACAGCCGAAGCTGAGTACGTAGCTGCATGCGAGGCCAGCATGGAGGCCATGTCGGAAAGCAATATCCTGCAGGAGATATTGCCAAATCATCCGATCGAATCGATGATCGGTATCGACAATCAAGCGGCATATGTCATGGCTACCAACCCGACTTACAGTCGACGTACCCGACACATCGAGCTACGATGGCACTTTGTGCGTGAGCAGGTGCAGAAGGGGCGTAATCAAGCTACATAAAGTACAGGGCGACAAGAAGCCTGCAGACGTCACTGGACAAGAAGCGACTCAAAAGATTGATGCTACTTGAAGGCGTCACGGATGCAAAGTAGCCGAAGGTCAGGCGTCAAGGTCGAAGCGATCTTCGAGGAGGAAGTGTTGGAATACATGTACAAGGTTCAAGCTTCTAGCCCATAGTGAAGTTCAAGACCTAGCCCGGATGAAAAGGGAGCTGGGACGAGGTAAACCAGATCGTAGGTCGTTTGAAACCCGTAGTGCTAGGGAGAGCTCGAGAGCTCTACTAGTGCTCTAACAAATGCAGTCTTCATTTTACCTTCTAGTCCAGAAGTGGTCCGAATCCGAATCCCAACATCTACGCGCTTCCACCGCACAGCGACAAGCGCCGCTCCTCAAACTACTTCCTATCATGAGGGGTAGCTCGCGTCGCCACCCACCGCACGACGCAAGATCGCTTGGTGACAACGAACAGTTAGCCCAGACATGTTCCACCACCTGCGGCAACGCAGCCGTGGTGTCCTGCCCCACAACCAGTTCGACCTTGCAGCTGCGGCACTCAACCACCTACGACTATACAGCCTGCTCGGCCATACAGCTGTAGCACTCGTCGCACAGCCACCACGACTGCAACAAAGGTTTTCCGTGCGTATCCTGTATGATATCTTTCTAAGTTTTTGTGCTTTATCAGGTGGAACTGTAGGGTATGTAGCTCGCTCACGATTCTCTCGCCGTATTCATTTTGGGGCCCAGCCCCACCATAACTCACTCCGTGAGTCTCGGTGAGGCTCGCCTTAAAAATTAAGAACGAACTGCATACCCCCAACGTGCTTTAGTATGAGCGATGAAACGGTACATTCTCGGTATAGTCGGGGGTAGATACAGGTTTAATACTGGTAGTGATTTGAGTGATCGACTAGCAAGTTCTAAACTTCTAAGTTCTAGACAAGCTATAAAATGAATTCGTTTCTAAATCTAAAATTAGACGTTCTTTTTTAAATAAATTCTCTTGACAGAATTTATTGTCGTAATTTAAAGTCTTAGTACAAAATTTGTATTACGATTAATAAATTCTGTCAAAATTCTTTATCAGATTGGACGCTTTCTTGTCTTGAATTTATTAGTCGTTTTACAAACTTTAAGTTTCGACCAATAAATTCTGTCAATACAAGAGAACGTCCATTTTTAGATTAGCTCCTTCTAGTTTTGATAACTTTAAAAGTGTCTTCTTGAACTTGCTTGATTCAGACTGCCGTCCTTGGGCCCGCTAATTCAACGTGGTTTTATCCTTCCGCCGGAAAACACCATTTTCTGGAAGAAAAAAAAACTCGCCTGGGCATTCGGCGTAGACGAAATTAAACGGCAAGCGTAGCACGAACTGACCCAACATGTTTGTAAACATCGCTCGCTGTTAGAGTGTATTAAGAATGAAAAATCATGTCTGTGGGATACACTAAACTAACACACCTACATATAATCATCGGTATCGCAACTAAAAATTGTAACGGGTCCTGATGTGTTCGAAGACGCGACGCAGCATCCAGCCGTCACCGGGGGTTACCGTTGGTGAAGAGCCTGCCTTCATAATGCATGCAGGAAAATCCTCGTTTGGCTGATCAGTATGTTCATAGAAATCGGGGAGTCCGAAGCCGTGACCGATTTCGTGAGCCACAATTATCGACTGTTCCTGATCAATGGTTGAAATCATAGATTCTTCATCGACACGTTGACCCCAGTCACCACCGGCTCCACCACCTTGACCCAAGGTAGGCCATAGCGACATATCGAATGGTTCTCCTTCGCATGCGCTAGTGTCGGCATTCGCAGCGAAGCCCTTGTGCTTGTAACAAGCGTCTGGGCATTGCGGAACACCATCGGGGTCTTTTTCCGTCGTATATATCGTACCGAGAGAGTCATCACTCCAGTCGAACAGAGAAGTATCGCGCGTCGCCCAGCCGACAATCTTCACCTCGATCGTTTCAAAGGGCCAGCAGCCGTACCCGATAACCCACTCGTTCCAAGCCTTGAATTGGCGATTCAGCATTGCTTCAAACTTGGCTGCCACCGTTTTCGAGAGCTTGTTGGTGCTGTCCCAACGCACGCAGTACCTGAGTTTCCCCTTGTTATTTACAAGCTGATCAAAGATGTTGTTCTTGAAGTCGGGGACGTTCTTGGACATCCTCTCCGTCCAGACCCAATCGACATCAGACTTGGTGATGTATGCGTTCGGGTCGCCAACGACGCACTTGTCATTTCCTGAGGTAATGTCGCCAAAGCTAGCATGCTCTTTTGTCGAATTTCCAGACGTCGCTGGGGTCTCGTCAGTTGATCCCTCCGTTGAAGGAAGCGATCCAGTCAATTGTTCCATTGTACCTTGTGACGGAAGAGAGTCCGTTGTTGTACTGCTAGTTCCATCAGTTGAGCCTTGAGTTGGAGGTGATTCAGTGGCTCCTTTGTCACCAGATTCCGGTGCCACCGTCGCCAATCGCGTGGGTGTTTGTTGGTTCGAGGAATCCGTCACGATTGTATTTTCGTTAGCAGGGAAGTCGACGGCCGGTGATGTCGTAGCGGCAGGAGCTGCCTGTTTAGGGTAGCATTTCGCTGCCGACGTAACGGAGATATAAGCAGCTAGCGCAACAACCGCGGCGGTTAATATCTGCATTGTGAAAAACCGCGAAGCTCGGTGTGACCCCATGACACGAAATGAAAATGGAGTCAGGGTGAGGCGATACTGTAATGCATCCGGACTCCGATTTCGCGCAGAGCCATTACACAAAGGAGCTTTGCTGGATTGTCATGTTGTATTCCACACTGCCTACAAAACACAAATATATACACCTGCATGTATAGACTCCTCACTAAACTACAGAAAAACAGTAACAATGCAGAATAAAAAAGCCTGAACAGTTCTTCTTCTGTTTACGATCACCAAAGCATTAGGAACAAGAATCATCGTCGATTGGGCGTTTGGTCGTTTGACCGTATGCCATGCATGATACATGTAGCACGCGCTCCGGCATCTTGTTGTATGATCACCTACAGTAACTCGAACCTTACGTTTCCTTCATGATTTCCCTGAACCAACAACCAAAAAAGATAGCCATCTAGCTGGTTCAAACATTTCGGAACAACTGGTTTCAGATCATGGCCACAAGATTTTGGCCAGGAATTGACAGTAACCATGAATCACTTCACGTAGAGTTTTAGTAGTTTTCCGTTTCGTCAACGCCGACAGAAGCAATAATAGATTGTCACCGAGCAATTCTCAGTCTACAACGACATAATACTCTCATTTGGAGCGTTCTTCCTGTCACCCCGTTCCGTACTCAGGAGTCGAAATGAAGCGAGCGGATAGCCAGCTAAACTTCTGGGGATCGTCAACGACAAAGATGCAAATGAAGCCAGAGGTGAATTCTCCTCCTCACCGATCGCTTCGCTCGGCACTATTCAGTCGTGGAAAGCAGTATGTCGTACCAGACGAGTCTCAACCAAATCGACAGCGTACGCCGTGGAGTTTTAATCTCAGAAAAACTAAATCAAAGGGAAGGTTTACGAAATGGCAGCTATTCCACCTCATCCGTCGCCTTGTGGTGGTTGCTGCCGCATGTCAGTATATAGAGATTTCTATGTTAGCGACCTGGCGTACGATCGAAGTCTTACGTTCTACAGCAAGCCCCACCGAGTCCTTTGGGAGTCTTACTGCATCTCTCATTGCTGACTATCTTGGAGGCGGTCATATCCGAGACAGTCGGCTAGTTCAGAGCCTTTTAGATGGTGATACCACACCTCGAAATTACACAATATTTCTCGAGTCGGAGACCAAGACTTCTATTGAAAACTGCTCCGAGGTTCCTCTCTTCAATTCTGAAATTTACAATTTCAATTTCTTGACCCACAGTTACTTGGAGATGGTGCTCGATACCAGCTACAACACCAGCGTTCTTGCAGATCTGGAGCTCGTTGTCGTGGTGGTAGACTGCAGTTTCACAGCTCTTGTGTCGGGAGATCCCTCGGTTGTGCGCATTTTTGACTTAGTTCGATCACATGATAATTCCAGCGATTTGTATTTAGTCACGGTATCGTTGTCGGTGCAAGACTACGATGTACCAGACTTGAATAAGAACGGCCCAGCTCTGCTAGGCATGCTTTCGGTCATCAACGCCATGAATGCAGCCAGTGTAGAGCAGTTTTACATGGTAGCACCAACGTATCCTTTCCAGCGATCTCTAGAATTCGAGATCTTCGACTTCATAGGAATAACCAATGACAGTCATCTTGAGCTCCGAACTATACCACCAGACCCGCTCACCCAGCCTGTAACAAGTCTGTTTACGGCTCGAAATCGAGGCTTTTATGACGGTGAAGTCCAGTCGAACACTCACTCCATGTACTCGTTACTGGATGCCGCAGATACAAAGAGTATGTTGACGCGGTGGGAATGGTATGGAGAGACTATTATCGCCGATTCCTGGGCCTGGGTACACGGGATTCACCTTGTTTTCGGGATGCAGACGGTGTATTCCCTCATTATCCTTCTACTCGTGACTTATCAGAATATTCGCGTTGGGAAAATTTGGATTGGAGCTCCATTTGCAGCGGTATCGACTACAACTCTCGTCTCCCGTGGATTTTTAGTGATGATCTCGTGGTACGTAAATTCATTCTGGACTCTGTACGAATTTGCGCTATCAAACGCTGCAAAATTATCCGGAAACGAGATTGTTCACGTCCATAAAGAGCTCGTTCATGCCGACGTTCTCGTTGTTTATCTGGGTATTGTGGCATTTCTAAGTTGGGTCATTCGTGAACGGATCGATCCCGCTATTGCGATATTTCTGTTTGAAATCATCCACAAGCACAGACTAAGCTTCATAAAGATATCACCGCCTATTCTCAACAAGATTATAACGTACTCTGACAGTGTTTTCCATCTCGGTAAGGCTGACGTATCCTCGAGTGTCAACGACATGTCTCCACTAGATTTTTGGTCCACGTTCCAGATTCCTAAAAAGGATGGTACTTTCCTCGCTGCTTCTTTTTTCCCGAAGATCAGCTTGCTGGGACTAATTATTTGCTATGCCATACTACGTAAAATCTATCGGTATTTCTACCCTGAGCCTGTTCATCAAAGATCGAGTCAAAGCAAGAGCCAGTCAGCGAATGAGAAGACAGCACTGACGCTTAAAGGCACTTTGACTAACTTCGAGATCTCGACCGGCGCTGAGCTTCAGACGCGCTTTGGTGTTATTTCCGACTATAAGAATTATGTGTACTTCAAAGGGATGAAGTTCGCGTCTGCGGACGGAGTGTACTGCTCCGGGTATGTTATTGTCAATGGTAAATTTCTGGCGAAGTCGAAGGATCTTGTAGCCGTTGCGATGATTAAACTCGTCCGCGCTCGCTTCACGAATGTGTACGTGTATGAGGTGGAAGGTAACACGGTCAAGGATACAGCAAGACTTGTGTGCCCGGAAACTTTTACGTGGTCTGACATGTGGCAACTGAACGTTACTGTGTTGTTGTAAATCGAATAGAAAAACCTTGGTTAATGTAATGAGCTCTTCGCAATTACAATGTTTATGTAGCTACTTGACGCTCAACTCGAATAGATGACAGGGGTCTCACGACAGAAAATATATTATAGTTTATTACACCAGTCTTTAGGTATCATACATGTAGCGGGAGTACCCTACCGAAGTATGATTCAGGGGCGCATCTGCATACTGGTGAATATTATGTTAGTATTGCAAGTTCTTGGATCCTCATCATAACGCGAACTGCATTAGTTAGACTCTCACAGGCGCATCAAACAACTTTTATTTGCTGCTTAGAAGAAATGTACTGGTGCTGGTTCGCGCTTAGCTTCCATGCCGAATTTCCAGCAGTTGGACCTCAACGACGTGGCTGGGCCATGACGATCGTAGCTTGCGACGCAATGAACTGCTTCGCCAACGCTTCCTTTTTCACGGTCGTTGATCCTTCGCTCTCTTGGTTGGAAAGGGGCGTCGCGGCGTGCACTTTCTGGTGGAGCTTGGCATTCGTGCTTTTCGCGTTGGAGGTGGTTGTCTTCTGGACGGAGAGCGCAGACTTGTCGGTGAGGATGGTGAGAGGTTGGCTGCAGGCGTCCATGGTGAGGCTTGTGTGCTGGTCGGAGGAAATTCCAAAGTGAGAATGAGCATATCGAAGTCAACGGGGAGGCGAGCCATCGACAAAAGTGACCACCCGACTTGATCCATGAGGCAGGAGAGGGTAATTTCTTTCGCGCCGTGCTTTGCTGCACTTCGCAGAAGGGAGTATTATTTCGCGCCGATCGAAGGTGCAAAAGCATTCCTCGCACCCACATTCGATGCTCTCTACATCGGAGTTTGCGTTACAGGGGATTCGATGGAAGTGCGGCTAGAGGGAAGATATGACTTTGCTGACTGAGCCACCGAGACGGATTGGAGAAGGAGAACATCAGTTCTCGTCGCTCCATCACTTGAGAATCGAGTCGAGTATCATCCGTGGAGGTGCAAAGAAGTTTTGAGCTGATAATTTGCCACACTACTCCTCGAACTTCAATGCATGAATCCTATGATCTGCGTCACGCCAGGATCTGTCGAAGTTTTGCTGATAGTGCAATACGTTTCTTATGTACTGCGCTAGTAAGCGAATGCTCGCGTCACGTTTGCACCTCCGACAGTTCCAAAGGATGATACTCGGGGTGATGAGGCGAAGGGAACAACGGCGGCTGGAAGGATTACAGACAGTCCCCTCGGTAGTTATAGCGTTGGAGCCGCAAATTTATTTCTGTCTAAGGGTATTTCTATCCGCAAATGTACCACAAAAATGGATCCGAGTACCTTCAGCTTGGAACAGGACACAAAATATACGATTAATGTAGCTCGTTACCGGCGATTCACCCTGTTTTGCTCTCCTATTGCCAGTTTTGCCGCACCACACCTAGATACCCTCCTCTCTAGCCCAGCCAGTCCACATCACACTCACCAATACCCAACGACTGCTGTAAAAAATAAAAAAAAACTAGCACCATGTTCACATCCCTAGTTTGTACAATACAGAGCTAGGTTCATGGGTTCACAGAATCTACGGTCTTCCTCATACAACGATCTGGAAGCTATTGATGCGCACGAAAGCACTGGAGCCACTTCCGGTCTCGCAGTTGGCCACAAAATCGCGGCACGAGACCAGGTACTTGCCAGTCGGGTTTCGAGGAGTGGCGAGGGTGTTGTCGTCACAGGTGTGCAATTAGAGTGAAGGTTGAGCACTTCTCCGTGACCCTAAAACTCGAATCACGTCCAAAATAGTCAAAAGAATAGGCTTCATCGGTTTAACATTTGGATCGGACGTGACAGCAATAATGCTCTTGTGCAGTTATGACTGTTTCGCGCCCCAGAATAGAAATATTTGACGTCAAATGTATTCCATTTAGGGGTGAGAGGGAATAATATCATGGGTTTGTAAGTGACTGGTTAAAGGGAACCGCATATTTATTGCTGATGAGGGAGTTAGTTATCTATTTCTAGGGATTACTACTGTATTTCATAGGGAAAAAAAATTAATGCTTTTTCCCGCTGAAAAATATCCAGCCTGGTTAATTTCGAATGAGATGTGACGAAATTAACAGTTCAGCCGAAAGTAAGTCCGAAAAAAAGGTGAGGTGTCGAAATTAAAAGAACTGCCTAAAGTATGAAATTAGCAACGCCATTTAAGCAAAAACCATTTAGGACCGAATGAGCTCAATAAGGCATCGTCGAGAGCCGTCCATACGCCACAAGAAGCGGTACATTGCCCTTCACTACACCCACAATACGCTCCTCTACGCTCTGATACCCTAACATGCCTTCTATTCCCTCCAGGAAGCGCGAGAACGACGCATCCACTCAACGAATCGTTGCTCAACATCTCCACCAATACGCGGATGTAAACGACTCTTTCAGCTCACTCCAACGCTCACTAAAACTCCAGTTAAAGCGCTATAAGACACACAAATCTAGATCTGATGAACTTAGCCGGATCTGCGTCGCAGTGGAGCAAATGACCCATTTCCAGACCCTTTTCGGCGCCGAAATGGACGGAGAAAGCGTGGAATTATCTAACGTTACAAGTCTAGGCAAACGAACCGACAAGCTGTTGACCAAACTCTCAAACCGCAGGAAACCATTGGCTCGACGTACCCAAAAAGTGGTCAAAAGACTCCCAAACCTCATGAAAAGGGCAACTTCCATCATAGCCGAGCGTCGACGGGTTCTCAAAGAGCAACAAGAGCTCCCAGCTAGACACCAATGGATACCAATGATCCTATGGGCACTGTACGATTCTGTGGCGGACGTGGCTGCCATAGAAGAAGAGAAGAAGCCGCTAAAAACAGCGATGCACCACGTCATGAAGACGTTGAAGGAGACCAACCCGTTCTTTTATTTGCAAGTATTGTATCAGCCTCCACCGGATTATTTAGATACATGTTGGCAAATTACGGCGTCGCAGCAATTAACGACCATTACAGCGAGTATGACGCCGCATTTCCGAGCGTTAAACAAGAGATCGGCCGCGTTACGGAACAACCGGGACGCGTTTGTAAGGACACGATACGGATGGAACCAGCTGCGTGTGACGCTGTCATTTGCACGTCGAGCTGCTAGACATTTCCACTTGTTGATATTACATTTATACTCGGTGGCGATGCACTGTAACGTGTCGAATGTGAATGCTGCAATCATTTCGGAGAAGGCAACGAGTGGGATTCTTAACGATGATGTGGAATTGAGAGCTCGATTGGGACTAGATCGCAATTCTGCTACGTCAGAGGACTATTTACTGAAGGAAAGTTACGAGTGGACGCCCGAATTGCTGGTTCATCTGGATAAATGGAGAGAAAGTGGACGAGAAGTGTTCGGTTTCGACCGTCGAGAACAGTACCAGGATTTCTTACCGCAGTTTTCGTTTGATGATCAGGCAAAAAGACACAATAGACGAATACCACGTCGCGATGTGTTAGCGGAGATTGGGTACAAGTTACGTGACGTAGATCGCGTGTGGCGAGCGTCTCGACTAGGCACTTCTGGGTTTGAATGCATGAGAATTGAGGATATTGGCGCTTTAGAGAAGAAGATTAAAGGCTGTTTAGGAGCAGTGGTGGATATAGTCTACAAAATGATGTTGGCTCGCTGGATGGATCGAAGAAAGCGCCCCACGGAGTGGTGGGCGTCGCTGGAACTTTGTAAAGGACAGGAGTTAGACTCTGAGTCAGATGGGGTTGATCTTCCCGACGAATTCCTTGCTGATTATGCTGAAGACTCACAAGGCGAGGTTTCTGAGGTTACAACTACGATAGCTGCGCCGAATGAAGACGTACAGGATTCTACGGACGCGGAGTCTGTAGAACCTAAAGAGGTTGGAAGGACTACGATGAGATTACCTGCTCAAAGAGGCTTCAGACGCCCGACTACTGTAACCTTGAGAGATGTTGTTAAGACGACGGACGCTGAAGATTCTACTTCACTGGAACAGAAAGCTCAGCTTCGCGAGCAGTCTGATAAGGATAAAGCTGAGCGCATAGCAGAGATGGATGCAGCGATGGTGGGTCTGTATGATCGGTTAGAGTTATCGAAGTCTGCTGTTGAAAGAGCGACCGAGACGAGACCAGAGTTTGGAGAAAATTTGCATGATGACTGGCGGGTGACATGCCTAGCGAGTCGTTTGTGCAGACTAACCAACGAGGCGCTGGTATTTGTCGAGGAAGATACAGCAACTTTCAAGAAGCCAAGCGTAATTGAAGAGAATTCGGCATTCGTACCGGAGAATAATGGCGAAACAGCTTCAGAGGACCCGACCATGAAGGAACTGCGTGCGAGTCTGCAGAATGCTAATCGTAACGTCGCAAAAATGCTGTCTCCGTATGAAGGTCAGCACTCAAACAAGTGGTTCCATACAATCTTGTCCACAGGACTCGACACTTTGGAGCTACTGCGTATCACTCCTGAAGTTCTCGCGGGATCTGAAAAGTAGAGGTGACTGAATTATGCAGTTTGGCTGGGGTCGGACACAAGGAACTATTCGCGAGACCATACAAGAAAAAGAGCCTGTGCTACGTACACGATAAATGGAACTTTTTTTATCAAGGAAAAGTGTTTTTTCTGTTTGTTTTTTTTTTCAAGATGGTACGGTACGGGTTATCCTGCATGATAATATGTCCAAATGTACTACGCATCGAGTGATCGAAAGGGTTCAACAAGCTTTATGGGATAGCGTTCGCCTCCAAGCGGGTCCCAAGCGTTCTCATCTTCTCCACACAAAACGTTATCAGCGAGCTCGACATTTCTTTTCATTTGACACAGTGGAGAACCACCCAAAGACACAGCATCCCAAACATTCGTGGTAATCCAGTCAGGCACCTCTGTCAGCAGAGTGAACTCCAGTCCTAAGTACGATATATCAAAATTTAAGTTTTGACCTTGAGGTAGTTTTCGTAGTGGATTCTTAGACAGCGCGACGCTGTAGAAATAACTTGAGGCTCCATTCAGGAACACATCGTCGGGTATTGTTTCTATCTCGTTGTCGATAAGCGAGATATCGCTCAGAACCGGAAGTTGCATGAGTACACTCGGAAATGGGTTTATTTGTGAGTGCTCAATGAACATGATTTCCATACCGTTCCAGGGTTCTACAACGGATTCTGGAATTGTCGTGAGATTTGTATGACTAAATTCCAGATCCGTCAGTTGTATGGGTAGCGGAGTTTGTAGAATTCCAGGTGGGATACCCGTCATATTAACGTATATGAAGAGCGCAAAGAGCATCATAGGATGCAACTCAGCCGATACAGCAGCTTCTTCAGCCCAATCCACAAGTGTTGCGTTCCAGAGCTCGACGCCCATAAGAGAGGAAAATTCGCGAATGATCGGTGGCATAGTAAACGCTGAACAATGCATGAATATGATCTTGCGCACTGCTTCACGTTCCAACCAGCCTAACACCTCTACAGACGGACTCGTTACTCCTTCCTTGTAGCAATTGTACCTTACCACTGCGCAGCTAAAATTTGACGCAAGCCATGGATGCATACGCTGCATACACAGGCTCTCCATTTTTGCTACGTCTCCAGCTACAGCTCCATACTGTGACGAAAGATGCAGGCCAAGTACGATACCTCCAGTAATCAGTAAGAGCATTGGGATCGTGACGCGATGCACTCGAAATAAAATTCTTGCTGAGTTCTGAACGCGCCCAGAAGCCCGCAAAAACGCACGGTATGATGCTAGCGCGATGATAGATCGCCTGATACTCGATCTGACAACTCGTGGTTCTGGAAGAGATCGTTTTGTTGTCGTGGTTGTGTCAGGTAAGTCTGAGGAATGAAGCATGGCAGCTATTGCTTCCAGACACATAAACACACTTAGATGAGGTACAAACTTCATCGTTGAGTTCGCCCAGGACATGAAGAAAAACGCTCGATTCTCTAACACTAGGTTAGGGAATGCTGTGTCTCCATAGAGCATTGTATAGGGAAAACTGAGGTTCTTAACATCGAACTGTAAGGCATACGGCATAAAGATAGCGGTTGGTAGAATGATAGCCGTTGCTGTCGCTAGTGCTGCATCCACTGTGACTGCCAACAAGCGTATCGATGTACGGGATTTTGTCAATGGAGGAGCAACCTGCCGACCATCAGGATCACTTTTAAGCAGCATTTGGTGGATTATGAAAGCAGACCAGCAGTTTGTCACTATCAGCGCCACTTTCGCGTGATTGATCCAAGATCGAGCCACTAGCGTGCTGTACAGATATCCGTTCGGGACTTGCGTTGCGATCTCCAAAGTCTTACGAAGAGCAAACATTCGAGTGAAATGCTCGTTACTTTGGTCACATTCGCGTAAACTATGCGAACATCCAGTTCGCCTCCCAGCATTTCGTAACAATCCCCAACGATATCCAAGTCGAGTAAAGGATTTTACAACGAGTTTCAAGAGTGTTTCCATGGCTGATCCTACATTCAATGGCCTGACGCGTAATCTTCGAGCAAATGTTGCAGCTTTGAGGTGACAAAGCATCTGCAGCCCATGAATTGCCCCGAGAATACCTAATGTAGTGCCTACAACGCGAAAATGTCGATCTCGTTCTGAAGCAAGCAGACCAGCAAAATAGTCGAGGTATTCATTTTCCATAAGCCAGTATAGTTTAGCGGAACAGATCAAGAAGGTCGAGCACAGCGCGTGAAGGAGCACCATGAACATCCATAGGAACGCGTATTGACGGCGAGTAAGCGAGTCACGACTGTCGCTTTCGTAGCTGCGATGGATAACGTGGGCTTGGGGACTTGGCACAGAGCTGGGAGCCACACGATACATGGTCCAAGCGTACTATAAGGCAACGCTATTGAAGATGCAGAAGGATAACTACCCCCTTCAACCCCCGTGTCTATCCTGCCGAGTTAATTCCTAGAATAGTAGCGAAGATGACGTTTTATTTTAACCGTGAAGTAGGTCCGACATACTTAGCATTTTCGAAAAATCCATTGCACACACTTCCACGTCTCGTACTTGGCGCTGGAGTTCACTTTGCTGACTGAGGTACCGGCTTGGATTGCCACAGACGTTTGGGATGCAGTAACTTTGAGTGGCTCTCCGCTGTTTCAGAGTAACAACACTGTTGTGCTTGCAGAGAATGTTTTGTATGGAAGAGACGAGAACACTTGGGACCCGCTGGGAGACGAGCGCTACACGACAAAGCTCATGATACTGTTTCGATCGCTGGATGCGTAGTAGTTATAGCGGCATGCGAAGATGATAGATCTAGCGTCATCATCGACGCTGTGACTCGTACATGTTCCGGATATTGCGAAAAATCTCGACCGTTTGTCGCGCTAGTTGCACTGATTGCGTCTGCACCTTTTCGCGCATGCGAGCAGACCGCGGTCGGTGGCCACAAAGCTCCTGCATGTCCTGCTTCGTGACCGCCAGCAACTGAATCAGGTCCTTCAGCTCAGGCTGTTCTTGGGGTCTACTCGCTTCTAAGTTTGCATCTTCCTTGGTGTTGCTGTCTACGCACGATTCCTCGACATTCAAAGACGATTCAGCATCCGCGACAGCGTCGGTGTGTGCGGCAGACGACGTATCTTCGGAAGCCTTATTGCTGACAGAGCATGTGTCCTGAGCTGCCCCGCTTGCCTCGCTTGTTTCAGCACTATTCGAGTGTTTTCGCTCATCCGGAAGCTGGTTGGATGCAGAGTGGAGCGCGAGCTTTTCAGACCCAATCAAAGCGTCCCGGATCAACATTTGCGCGCGACTCACAGCTGCAAGAAGATGCCTCGTGGCCGAATCCACCGCTGCCTTACTTCCAATTGGTTCGCTACTCCCATCGCCACTCATAAACCTGTGCTTCTGCACTTCGTGCTTCAGCATGTGGTTAGTGACAGCAGAGAGCGCGTTCACGTCGCTACGAATCGCATACACATCGCTCCAGCGCAATAAATAAGACACCATTGTTTGCTGGTCCCATGAAGAAATCGTCTCGGCACTCAAAACCTGAGCGTCGGTGTCGTCCACGTCCATAGCGTCATTGTCTGGATTGTGAACAGACAGCGCTGTGACCTTGCGGTTCCAATACTCCTCGGCAAGGCGCTGTTCAACGATTTCGTCTGCCACCAACCGATCAATAGTATTCCTATCAGGATTAACCCCATCGCCCGGATTCTTCGCTGCTTGTGACCGAGCATCGACAGTCGTGTTCAAACTACCTTGACTTCCGTCACTGTAGTACGCGTTGAACTGCGTTAAGTGGACGCTTCGGAGCTGCTCAGGTTCATCCAACAAGCGTACTGCCCAGAGCGCTTGAAGGTGGTGCGCATAAAGCTCCAGAATCTTAACAATACTACCCGTCACATCTGTCTCGAAAGATATCACTCGATCCAATGCCACAGTCTCCAGATTGTCTGTCCACTTGAAATCGTTCCACAGACACACGATGTTTAGCAGTTCGTCACAAATACAACGCAGCAGACCGTTGCTATCGTGCTCAAAGTCAAACGCTAGACTCTCCACTCGACGGAAGAAACCGAGCGGGAAGAGTGCCCCAGAACCAGTAAGTTGGTCACCCAGTAAGCTCTTACTGTTGTGACGCTTGGCCTGACTCTCACGATAATTGTATCCCCAGATATCAACGCAAAGAAGCAGCTCGGGGAAGAACTCGTATGTGTCTCGCAGTAGCTCTTCGGCCGGTTCACTTGCGCCGGTCTGCTGCTGAGTCTGTTGCTGGTACTTGTGCGGCACCACCAGCTTGAGTCTTGACTTGTACACGCCCATCTTCCTCTCGAAGTGAGAATTGTTCAACGCAACCGGTAGCGAGTCAACCTCTTTACACGTCGCTTGACCCTTAACACAATACAAATGCGACACCAAAGAGTGCAATTGCATCGCTACAAGATGCAACTTTCGGATAATCGAGTTCATCTTCTTGCGATTCAGGACCTCCTTGCCTCCACTGCTACGGGCCAAAGAGTACGCCACGTTGTCAAAGGATTTCATGCGCGAACTGATCTGCGACACCAGTTTGCGTTCCCATTTCAGCGCTGAGGCGCCTCGACATCCGAATTCACACGGCGGAGAGGGCGATGACGGCAATGGCGAAGACGTATCGGTTTCCTTGGCTATGATCGTCGGGTGCAGATAGTAGTACGGATCGCCCTTTGCAATTTCGTCCATAAGTCGCTTATGCGTCGCTCTCATAACGTACGATTGCGGGTCAGAAGAGATCACGCGAGCCAAAAGAGACCAAACAAATGGTGGTAGTTCTCGAGGCCAGCGCGGAGAAGCTCCTTCTTCCAGCTTGACCGCCAGAAAATCACCTTCGAATTTCAAGTTGCTTTTCTTTGGAGAGATATGTGCCACAAAACTTTCTTGATCATCGCTAGCCGGGTCAACAGGTGCACTCTCTTCGAACCAACCATCTTCCTCCCAGTCCATACCAACTGTGTCATCGTTCTTACCGTGATTCTGTTCAATGGGCTTCTGGGTTGTCGCGTGAGACTCGGTGTTTGGAGCGCTAGATGCTACTGGCTTGCTTTTAGCAATCGGGTTAGAGAATGAGAGTGCGTTTGCAGCAAGAACATGCTCCAATCCGGTCTGTAGCGCAATAACTCGTTCTTCCAGCGTCTGCTCGCTTTCTGTGAACAGAGTGTCCACGAAGCTATCAAGCTTTTCTAGCAGTTCATGCTTGCGAGATTCCTTCATACCACACGAGCGAGAGCTGAGTTGACATTGAAGATCGTACACGATGCCGCACAGAACTTCCAGTCTGCGGTGGCATTTACTGCTGTTTTCTAGTCGACGAAACTTGTCTTCTTGTACTGACAATGACGTTTTGGCCACCGTGAAATCCAATTCCACCTTATTTGCGCGCTCCAACGATGCAATAACATGATTATTAATCCGAATGGTATCAGTCACGACATGTTCAACAGGAGGAGAAATCTCAATCGTGGCTTGAGTATGCTGCAATTCATCAGAGCCAGCCCCAGGAGCTATGGCCGTCTCAACAGGTAGCAGATACTCTGGCGAACATTCACGACCGTTGGAGGCTACTTCAGCTGACTCACTCCTTCTGACATGCGCACTCTCCACCTCTAGTAGAACGCTGCTGTCGGCTCCGTTTGTAGTAGAAGATGGAGGGCTCGCAACACGGCTTTCTGGGGATTTCCTAGTTGCATCAGCGAAACAAAAAGTGTCAGAACCCAATAGCGATAGTAAGAAAATTCCAGTGTACACAATACCTTGTAAAGGAACTCGAACCGGCGACAGATCTCTGCGGCGACACAGCGGTAGCCGTCTCTTCGATCGGAGTCAACGGCATCACTTCACTCTGTGTGTTAGATCCGACAGTTATGTGATGTTCATCGTCCCATGTCTTGTCATTGGCAGACTGAGCCACGCCACCGGTAGAGCTCATGTTGTTCTGTTCTAACGCAGGGTCTTGTACCAGGCTATCTGGTTTCTGGTGGGTGGCGTCAATCTGTGCTTCACTAGGTTTTTCCATTGCAACATTCTCATTATCAGGAGCATCGTGGTTCTCGCCATCCACTACAGCGCTGTCAGCATTAGCATCACTCGCACTCGACACCGGCGATCCGTCTTCAGTGGGAATTTGTACACTAGTTGCTTGTCCAGTATCCGCCTCCATACTTGGGTTTTGTGCAACTTCGTCAAGCTGACCCATAAGCGACGTTCTTGTACGAGAACCCGGAGGAATTACATGCTCGCGACCTGGTGCTTCAAAGTCTGGGTCAACCTTTGTATCATTCTCAAGCGAGGGGCCACCTCGTTGAACTCGGCGCCGTTTGTACATCTGAGGGTGTCCGCGACAAGCAGAACTACTCCATTGTTGGGAACTTACACTATCAAATCGTCGTCGTCGATGTACAACAGGTATCTCCACAGGGCGAAACTGTTGAGGATAGCCATACGCAACAGCCATTTCCTCGTCTTCAGTCATCCATTCATCATCTTCATCATACTCGTAGTCATAAATATATGGCATTCGTTGCCGGTAAATAGGTGGTGGAGGTGGCCCCTCGCTCCGCATTTTGCTAATCGGGCGCTTAAGGCTTCGACGAGGATGCGTACGATGCACGGGTTGGTGCAGCTCCGGAACGTCAACAAATTCCAGTGATTCATTTGCGCCTGCGTTCTCATTTGTGAGATCAGCTGTCTCGTCAGGAAACGCGGCATTATTTTCAGAGTCTGGGCCATTGTAAGACTGACTGTACTCTGGATGCGCCAAACGATTCGCAGCTCCTTGATAAATATGCCGCGGCTGTCGAATCCGCTGAGTCTGTTCATTTCCTCCCTGTGGGGGTGCAACTGCATACATCGCATACCCTGCTTCCTGCATTTGAGCATGGTAACTTCTTCGCATCCATCGCGACTGATCAGGATAGCGACGCATCCTGCGACGAGTAACAAAGTGGTGAGGAGACTGTCCTCTCTGCAAATACGGAGCCTCAGATCCAGCGGAGTTTTCAGCAGTGCGCCTCCCTGTCATCACAAACTCAGTCTTCTCATCCGCTTCCAAGTCAGCAACTTCCATATATCTCGGCTGCTCTCGACGAACTCTCGGGGCATAATACACTCTCTGCATCGGAGCCACGTCCCAGTCATCATCAGGCTCTCCATTAATCCACCTCTCGTCTAGTATGGCCTCTCTCTTCGATTCCATCGCAGCCACAGTAGCTTCAGTTCCTGACAGTCTGGGCGATATCATTCCACGCCGTCCTCTAGTAGTGTCCACCTCGTAGAAGTCCATCTCCTCTTGTTCTTTTGGCATGCTTCTCGCCTTCGTCTGTAGATGAACCTGCACTCTGTTCACCAGCTTCCTTAGTTGTCTCGTGGCATCTTCCAGCATCTCACTGGATCCAGCCGACACCAGGAAGTTCATAACATAGCTGTGACTCTGTGGCGACCGCTCAGGCTCATCGGGCGACAATGCGCAGTAGTCGACGGTGCAGCCTGTAGCGCTTACTATCGCGTTGATGCTGCGGCCACCACGCTCACCGTACAGATACGGTATCAGCATATCCGGATGCACCTGCGTTGTTAAACGGACAGTGCGCACTCGCTGCGCCGTCGGGTGCCGAGAGGCTTGTCTCTTCCTTTCGTCCATAACGTTGAGCTCTGCCTCCTGCGCGTTAGCTGAAGCACTTGCGTGCCCTTGATAAGGCAGTTGCGATGCCGAATCATCCGCCGACAGCTCCGTCTGCATGTTGTCCGCGCCAGAGGCCTCCATGATCCCGAGCCTTGAGTCGCTGGCCAAGCGTTCTTTCAATTTTTGGCGGTCAAGACTAAAGTGGTGTAGCGTACATAACGACCATCACTCGTGAAATTTTTACGACGTAATTACGGAAGCCACTTCAACTGACTGCATTCACTTCACAGTCAATCACTTCAAGTCCGCATTCGACAACCTATGGACTATGGCTGAGGAACGACTTCGTGCGGCATGTGAATGCGGCGACCTGGCAGCAGTGCAACAATTGGTTGAAGGCAGCGAGTGCGCCGATGTAGACGCTGGCGATGCCGCCACCGGGTGGACGCCACTGATCCTCGCGAGTTGGAACGGACACTTGCACGTGGTCCGGTATCTGCTCGAACGCGGAGCTGCAGTGGACGCGGTAGACTATGGCGGCTCGCCCGCAGTGCGCTTTGCAGCTAGTGAAGGGTGTCTGGATATCCTGCGAGAGCTTACGGAACAAGGTGGGGCCGATCTCAATGTGGCAGAGGGGAGTGGATGGACTCCTCTGCTCTTCGCAAGTCAGGGAGGCCACGTCGACATTGTCAGATATTTGCTGGAGCATGGCGCAGACGTGGACGCTCGAGACTCAGGTGGCTCGTCCGCGCTGAGATTCGCCGCTAGTGATGGGCGCCTTGAAGTCGTCAAGCTCCTCGTTGAGTTCGGTGGCGCGAGGGCGAACCAAACAGAGATCGACGGCTGGACACCGCTTATACTAGCAAGTTGGCACGGCCATTACAGCGTGGTTAAATTTTTGTTGGAGCATGGGGCACAGATAGATGCAAAGGATATGGGGGGCTCGACCGCTTTGAGGTTCGCTGCATCTGAAGGGCGAATGAGGATCGCGAAGCTGCTAGTGCAACATGGAAGTATGTGCGTTAATGAGCCGGAGGTACACGGACGGACTCCGCTATGGTTTGCTGTAACGAATAACCACATGCGATTGGCGACGTGGCTGCTGCAAATAGGGGCCGCTCCCAATATCAGGACGGATCAAGGGAGTACACCGCTGATGCGTATTTGCCGTTCTGATAACGCCGACGACGATATTGTGGAGCAGTTTCTTGATCACGGGGCGGACGTGAATGTAAGTGATTACCAAGGATGGACCCCACTAATTCATGCCTGCGAATCAGGTGACCCTGATCCAGGAATCATGGAAGTGCTTCTTGATCACGGCGCCGACGTAAACGCACGAGACAATGAAGGATCGACGCCACTCATGCATGTTTGCCTAGCGGGAGACGCTGACTCGAGTGTTGTTCAACTGCTGGCAGATCATGGAGCGGACATAAACGCACAAGATGGTCGCGGCAAGACGTCACTCATGTTAGCAGCATCTAATGGCGACTTAAAAACAGTGAAGCAGCTGTTGACTCTCGGTGCTGACTCCAGCCTTGTCGACAACTTCAAGCACACTGCACTGGATTATGCCAAGACGCATGGCCACCGACAAGTCCAGGAACTTCTTGTTTCTAAACTTAGTCACACTCAACTCCGCTCATTTGACTCCCGTGCTACTGCAACATCGACAAAGTGGTCGATTCCACCTACAGAAATTGAATTCGGTGACTTTGTATCGACTAAGAACATTGGAGGTGATTTTCTCGGAACGTGGCTGGATTCACAAGTGGCAATTAAGCTGTACTTGTCCGTCCCTGGTTCAGACGAGTCGTTTGACGAACAAGCTACTCGTTGGTATGGCCTTCGACATCCAAACGTTCAGAAGTTGTATGGTGTGGTACGTGAAGGCTACAATCTCTTTGTTTGTGAGCACATGACTAATGGATCATTAGAAGAGTATGTGGATACGATCACTTCTCGGTCGGAATGGAATCTTGTGAACGTAGCTACAGCTTTCCGGTACGTATACGGAGCAGCTCTGGGTCTGCAATACTTGCATGAGCGTCGAATTGTGCACACTGATATTCGACTGGGAAATATTCTAATAGGTAAGGATGGCAATGCGAAGCTTGCAAACTTCTCGTCAAGTAGAGCTTTTAATTGGAGCGGAGGGGATTCTTCTGAACCATCGGTGTCAGAATCAAAGGCATTTGCTTCAGATGTACTATTTCTTGGGAATTGCTTGCATGCAGTTGCCTTGAAACTCAGAGACCACACAGAATTGGAGGAATTGCGCGTAAAATGTGATATTCTGGTACAAGACATGCGGTGTGATGAATCTCTCCTGCGATGCAACATTTCCGCTGTCGTTCTGCGGATGAAAAATCTGCTAGAGCTAGCAAGCCAAGACCAAGCCCCTCAAGAAAGATTTGTTTCTGCCAGCGGAATTCTTTCGAAGCTACAAGATATGCAAATATCTGTTAACGAATCTACGAGTGATCTCTACCGAGAACTGTATGCTGACCTCGAAGCTGTATGCCAACGTTTTTTCAGCTGGAGCAACCCGATCACATTTCACACTTACGAAGAAGTCCTATTTGTACTTGAAACCATTCAGGGAGCGATTGAGCAGCAGAACTCGTACAAGAACCCCATTCAACGCCTTTCATCAAGTTGCGCAAGCGATCTTTCGGTAGATTTCTTGCGAAAGCAGATGCAATACTTACTGAGCTTGGTCGAGGCTCCTGCACACATGTACAGCGAAATGGAGAAGCGATGGTCGGACCTTCGCAAACAAAGGATCAACGTGTTCGTATCAGAGATTGATAACACGCTTACACTTCGTCCAACCGACACCGAGGGTTTGCTAACATTACTACGTCGAGAGCTGCAGAATACACGCTACTCAGAGGCCCAGCACCAAATAATTCAAAAGGCATACGACGAGGCCTGCTCAACACATGACGGGTCCATTATTGAATCACTTCCGGAGTGGTTTATTGGCTGGTATGAACTGGAGGATGAAGTTGTTTTCGCGCGTGGAGGATTTGGTGAGGTTTCGAGAGCCAAATGGCTCAACTCGGATGTTATCGTGAAGCGAATAATTACGCATGGCAGACATGACCAAAAAGAAATGTTCCAGCGTGAAATTGAGCTGTGGTTTGGTCTAAATCATCCCCATGTAGTGAAGCTCTTCGGTGGTTGCCACATCGGCACACCGTTCTTTGTTTGCGAGGAAGCGAAGAACGGTTCACTTGACAAATATTTACGAGCACATCCCACCGAGGTATGGCAAAAGTTGTACGAAGCAGCCCTTGGTCTGGAGTATTTACACGCGCGTGGCATTGTGCACCGAGACCTGAAGTGTGACAACATCCTTGTAAATATCGATGGAGATGCAAAGCTGACTGATTTTGGATTGAGTGCGCTTGAAAGTGCTGGGGATCAAGGCGAGCGCTCGGGCGCTGTTCGTTGGGTAGCACCGGAGTGTTTGACAGGAAAACAAGCGTCATACGCCTCGGACGTATTTTCTTTGGGTATGTGCATCATTCAAGCGGTGACGGGAAAATTGCCTTGGGGTAACCAACTTGACAACGCGGTTGTGAAATATCGTGTGAGAAATGGCGAGTTACCGCAGCGTCCGCCTCAATTTTCTGATGATCAATGGCAATTAGTGGAGAACATGTGCAAGTTTGATCCCAATGAAAGAATGCGCTTGCTTGTCGTTGTGCAGAGATTGAGACGACTCGCAGAGTTTCCCGATGGGGTTATCACTGAACACGTATCCAAGGAACTTGACTGTGATATAGTACAGCATTTAAAGGAAGTACTGCTGCACCGCGCTGGCAGCGCGGACTACCGTGTGCCATGCTTCATCTATCAGCTTTTGATCGAGCGCATGATGCACATTGATAAAACGTGCAGTAACGTCGACACCAAGGTTAGTTTGAACTTAGTCCTGGTCTCCGCCGAACCGTGGGTCGAGCAATTAGGAAGCCAAATGTCGACTGTGGATTTCGTGAAGGCGGTGTTTCGAGGATTCTCTCTGCACAGGCAGATTGACCGCATTTTGGCGGAGTACTTCATCGTGCCAATAAGTGAAGTGCACGGATGGGCAGACCAATGCTTCAGCGTGCTTCAGGCGGAGCAAAGCGGGATTCACCCTTAAAGTGGATAAAATATGAACCCCTTTTTTCCCATACGTAGGAATTTATAATTTTTTGCCTGGATCATTATAAAAAAAAATGGAAATTACCAACAGTGAGGCAACTTGGCGCGTTCGCTCACTGGATTTGAGTGGAGAGAACACGTCACTATTGGTAATTTAGTTGCTTTTAGACCTCTATTTAGATTTTCACTCAAAAATTTTTTTCCGGCAATCACAGAAAAAATCACAAATGACAAACTAGTTCGTCTTCGACTTATCTGGGAATACACTTCGTTTCAAGATATTAGAAATAGATATCAGAGATTCGGTCACGTGCGTAGTTGAATGATGATAAATTGGCCTTCTATTTGATTTTTTATGTGTTTTAGAAGCCTTGTACTTCGCAACAAGTAACAGACAATACGCGACTTGATGTCGTTACCTATCGCTTGCGGTCGAATCTGGTCTTGCTGCGCATGCTGTTGCATGTATTCATGAAGAGGGCCTTACGTAGTTGAAAATGATAGTACAACATAAATATTTGTTAGTAGAGCCCTTATTCTGTAGGCTCCACCACGATACTAGCGGGCCAATAGACAACAACACGCTCTGGTACTATGGAATACAAGCTATTAACCCGCAATGTCTGTAAGAACCCGCCACTTTGACGGATTTTGTACGGTGAGCAATTTTAATGGATCCGGTCTTATTAACGTAGGTCTTACATCATCGCAAAGTCATCGCAAGCTGAGACGGTCAGACTTAGCTCTTATTTCATATGCATGAGTGGAAGATCGCAATGGGTGTTGAAAACGGCATCTCCGAGAAGGATTGACAAGGCAAGCGCTACTGACAGAAAAGACGTTTCCCACCTTGACAAAAATATGGGCGAAAGAGCTCGATATTTGATCCAACTCTTGCCACTGTTGCCATTTAAAGGTCCGTAAAAAAAGAAATAGTCTAGCAGGTTTTCCAACCGAAAACTTGACAGGCTCGCTGCTGGCGATCTAGAATTAATCGCAAGCTCAAACCTCACAATTTCATATATCCTTCACTGAGGCCCCCGTATTGATACCTTCTATCCTCCTTGCCGACAATTTTTGTTTGTCACGTGTCGGAAGAAGGGAAGAAGGTTATTAGCCGGTAGGCTAATGCAACCGTGTGCCCATTATCTGCGAATTGCACGGCGGTTTACAAGCCTCTAGACGTGAGTCCTAGGACCTTTAAAAAACACACTGCGAGCTTTGTGGCTAGCCGGCTTTCGTAAAGGTTATATCGCAGCCAGTGACAAACGTCTAATTTCAATTAAGCGAGCCATTCGGGAGTGGGCTTTGAATGACTCAGAGTGCGTTGTTCGCAGCTTTGTAAAAGTCATCCCAAGATACCCAGTAGTTTAACTTCAATAAAACTGCATTTTTTCATATTAAAGCTTTTCTCTTTAGCAAATTATTAACAAAATACATTACACTGAGTTGACTTTAGCCAATGGAAATCGGTTGCTGCACCTGTCTTTGTTGTGGGATGCCAGCAAGTATACGCGGCTTTTATCATCGTTGTCTGTAAGTAATGGGTATTGTGCTTTGCATTCAGTTTGCTCTGCTAATTAGTGCACTAATTAGTGTTCGTACTTAGTGTTAAATCATGAATCGGAGTTGCTCAAATCGTGTTTTCAGCACGGTTTAGCAGAAAATGACACTGTCTGAACTGATCCTTATTCGTATTCGATGTGCTAAGCCGTGTATTAAATGCTTGACCGCACTACTAGCTGCCGGAAAGATGATGCATGATTTGTACTAAATCGTACTCGAGTACGATTTGTTGATATTTAGTATTTGAAAAGTCGTACGAATTACAATCGAAAGTGCCAAAAAGTCTGCAAACCACAATTTGTGATACGGGTTTATATACCTTCAGCTTGGCCTTGTTCTTGCTTTTAGGGCGGGGCTTCATTGTGTGCTCGTGCGATATGTGGTGGAAGGCGGGAGCTTTGCACAATTGCGTGCCACTGGTTGTGAGGACGGATGTCGCTCAAGCGGGTCATTTAAAAAGCCTTCGTAAGGTTTTTTTTAAATGACTTGATTATTACCGCTAAACGGTGTCGCACTGGAGCCGCCTTTTACGGTAGGAATTTATGGTACGTATCGACATGAAATCACGTGCTCGTCCATTCTAAGCCTATTTCACCGGAAATTAGCTTCTGAAAGGGCCACAGTAGAGGCCTTGGAATGTCTGGTGTATCGTCAGATATTTCTGAAATTTCAGGAATATGAACCACACCAACCTCATATCAACCTTTTATACCTGATTCAAAGTTGTTCCTCCGGTTGCATTAGATAAGGGAGGTTAATTTGTAAAGGATCATTGATCTTTATTTTTTTTTTTTTTCACTTTATACAATACGCGATCATGACATCTGAAGACATGGTGCGGTTGCGCACTGTGCTAGGCGCGAGCGACAAGCAGACACAGAACTTCCTGCAGCCGCTCCTTCCTCTACGCGGCGTCCAGGAGCTGCTTATGACGTTTGTGCGGGACTCGTCTCGGTCGTTCGAGGACTGGGTTTGGGACCCACAAGTGCGACAAACACTCTTGCAGATGCGGGACGCTGAGCCGCATTCGCACGCGCAGGGCCGAGACCTGGACGAATGGTATTCCCGAGCAGCACAGGAGCGTCTCGCAGCCATGACGCTACAGAACCCGGACGACGTGACGCCTCCAGAGTTTCTAGAGGAGGCGGACACGGCGCAATGCTACGGGAAGGTGAAGTTTAAGGAAAAGAACTATTATGCGGCGAAGAACGCCTTCTTAAAGAGTATCCAGGCCGTGTTGAAGCACCAACAGAGTGAGTACTACGGCAAGACTGTCCCTGCTGCCGAATGGGACGATCTGGACATGCAAGAACGATATGTGACGCTGTGTAATAACGTCGCGATCTGTGGCATCAAGATGAAGGATCTATCGCTTATCAACGAGTATGCAGCCAAGGCTTTGGCCGTAGAGGAGACGTCCACGAAAGCGTTGTATGCTATGGCCAAGTTGCGCCTCATGGAGCATCGCTATAACGAGGCGAACGAGGTTGTTGACAGGGCGTTGACGTTTTACCCTGATAAGGCGCAATTCCTTAACCTCCGCAAGGAGATTGAAGCAGCAGAACGCAAACAAGCGATAGAACAAGCGGAGCTATCTGAGATCAGAGCGAAACAACTGCAAGCTGTCATGACTGCGAGTACAGTGGCAGAACCACCGGCCTTGACGCAGGAACAACGTGAGGAGCAACTTAAAGAGGAAGTGCAAAAGAGAATTGACACTACTCCGCTACCTACAAGAGAAAACGACATGTTTGCTGCTGCGAGACTGAACGTCTACTTCATGAAGATCAAGCAAAGAATTATTGTAGACATTCACTCTCGCTACAACGCTGACATGGGTGAAGAGCCAAAATTCGAGTGTACTATTGTGAACGGCGCTACGGGTCAAGTGCTCGCGACTGGTGTTCTAGGTGCTTCTAAGAAAATTGTGAAGAACGAAGCGTGTAAAATCGTAATCGAAAAGCTCTGGCACGACAAGGAAGCTGCTGGCAAATTGACTCCCGAAGATCAGGCATACTTGGAGAGATTCGAGCGCGCGAAGGCCAGTGGCCAGCCGTTGAAGAGTGAAGCTGAAGCTCCAAAAGCTCATCAGACAGACGACAATGGACCGCAGTATCCTGTACGAGTGAGTTGGCTGGAGCGACAGCTCCAACCGTTGCCCTTGCTGAACCAACTTACCCAACGTGGAAGTCTCCAAGCCCGTTTTGATATTGAAGACGTGTCGCCCAACAAAGAAGTCACCGAGTTCAAGTGCACGGGCTTTCTAAACGGCGAGCAGATCGCTACTGGCAACGCCATCAGCAAAAAGAAAGCCAAAGTGGAAGTCGCCAAGCAAGTGCTTGCCGCTGCGTATGAGAAGAACCTGCTACTCGTTTATGATGGACCTACAGAAGATGAAGAGGGAACTGACCAGACGCCAGCGCATGGAGAATGAAGTGTAATGTATTCGCTGCGAAGGACAACGCCGTGTCGTGGTCTGGGTGTGTATATTGCTCCTGTATGGCCCGTGGCTGTTTTGGTGCTGTGTGTCTCGGTCACGTGTGTTTGAACGAAACCTCCGTGTCTCGCTCTATATATTGCTGCTGCTTGTATTGTGCTCGTGGTTATCGGTTGTTTCTCGTTTCTCCGTTGCTAATCTACAGATTCGGTGCACCTGGGCGAGCGCTTGTCTCGCTCGCACCCTAACTAGATGTTGACAGCTTTAGTCGGCGTGCACGTCGAGTGAGAGCTGATACACCTTCTGTGCACGTCGCGCACGCAGGAAATACATGATGCTGGTGCCGAAGACACACAGATACAGGAACGCGGCCAGGAAAATGCTCGTTGCCAGCGATGACTTGGGCTGACCATGAGGCGGTTTAACCTTAATGTATAGCGAGTTGCTGCTCACGATGCAGCCCACGATGAGCTACCAGAAAGTTAAGTATGTTAGTTTTAGCCAAAAATTCGTAGATCATTCAGTAAAGCCTTACCAGCAAGAAGAAGCCTGAGAACGAGAAGATGGCGCAGCAAATAATACCTGTTTAATACAAGAACAATAATTACTTTTCAACCAAATTGAGCCCATAGCAAGTCAAAATACGTAACGTACCCGGATGCGTCTGCGGCCCTTGACTGGATCCCTGTGCCAGTAGCTCCTCCAGATCTGCCGTGTCTCCTAGATCGCTCACGTCACTTCCCGGCGAGCCTACGTTGAGGTGTTTGAGATTCGCGTAGCCGGCCTTGCCGCCACTTACGACGGACACGATGTCCGTGCGGTCAAACGTCGCAGTCATCTCCTTGCGCAGGTCTCCGTAGACATCCTTCAAGCGCGACATGACACACAGCACTCAAGCAGAGGTCAGAACGAGGGCTCAACTGGCCGTGCTGCGTTTTCGATTGTGAACGCCACCGCGCCGGCCAACGCTAAAATAGGAGCGGAAAAAAACGGAGGCTTCTTACGACTGACCCCGAGCGACGGGGCGGCTGATTGACGGCTATTTTTCCCTCCTTCTCTCGATTCGCGTGTGGTGGGAGCTGGGACGGCGTGCGCGCTACAGCCAAGCACTAAAGTCGGCGAGCAGCTATAGGAATAGATCACAGCAGCGGTGACACCAGCGAAAAGTGGGCTCAGGTTACTCTGCCGACGTCACGCGTGTTTTGAGCTGGCTACAAACAGACGATCGTGCAGCTACACAAAAGCTTTCTGCCAATCATATCGCGCCAACAATGTAAATAGTTTTTTACGAATGGATATCCGTACATTTTCAAACCCTAACGTAAATATCATCTTACACTCCAATTTTTCCGTTATCTTTGATCGGTATCCACCGGTCCCCCCTTCCACTCGTCCACTTTCATTGCACAGACCGATCCGGGATCCCGCTCGCCTCTAGAGCTTCCTCTGTGCATATACACCACCAATCAGTTCATCATGAGTACGCAGAGCAACGTGTTTTCGGCGCTGCAGCCGGAGAAGCGTAAGAAAAAGACGGCTGAGGCGCCGCAGAACAAGATGTTCGCTAGTTTCGTAAACAACCCGTCGACGTCCGCTTGGGGAGACGACAGCGACGACGAGATGCACGCGCCAGCCGCTCCCGTCGCTGAGGAGGCCGTCGAGGAAGAGGAATATGAGGAGGACAGCGAAAGCGAGAGCGAGGAGGAGGAGGAGGAAGAGGACGAAGAGCCCCAGAAGCCTGCCGCTGCAGCCGCCCCCAAGAAGGAGGCAGCACCTGCCCGTACGCTCTCCAAAAAGGAGAAGAAGGAGCTGGAGATGAAGGAATTCGAGGCTGCACTGGCCGATCTTGGCATCAAGACGGAGGATGCCTCCAAGCCTAAGAAGGAAGACAAGAAAGAGGAGGCTAAGGCCGAAGCGCCATCGGCCGCTGGCTCGTCGGACAAGAAGAAGAAGAAAAAGAAGGGCAAAAAGCCTGCCAAGGCCGAGTCTGAGGCTTCAACCACCGAAGTGGTGGACATTAAGGCTGTCATGAAGGCCAAGGGAAAGAAGAAGAAAGCAGCCGAGCCTGCTGCGGTGCGAATCGCCCGTGAGGAGAAGGCCAAGGCCAAATCTAAGGGCAAGAAGGACAAGAGCAGCTTCAACGAGTTCTCCATCTAGGTAGACGGAGATCGCAGCGTCATGACGGTTGGTTGTGGCCGTGGATGCAACAGGGTGGAGGTAGGAAGTCGCTCGTCACAGCAGCCTCCGTTGCTCACTCTCGAGCAGCAAACGCAGCCAAAGCCAGCGAGTCTCGGACTCGCCCAGCCAGCCGCTCAGACGCACTGCACTCCCAGGTGCAAGCCGCGGGTTCATTATCGAAGAGCGGCGATAGACACCTAGCAGCATTAAACAGAAAAATATAAAAGAAAAACATAACTGGGTTTTTATAATCTACATGTATTCGGTATAAATCGGTATCAAAGAGTACTGCAGTTTATCCAGAGTCGAGTCACTGTGCCTTCTTGCATACATTTTCTGTCCTATTGTGTTGAACCTCATGCCTCAAGCTACCTCAACTGTCGCGGGATGCATGAGGTAGCTGTACTCGTCCATCGGCAGCGGGATGAGATGCCATGGCGTACCGGGTGCTGGAGCTCGTCGACTGCACCACTTTGCCAACTTGGAGAAGAGCGATGGACTCTCCTCTCGTGTGTGCACAAACTGAAGCTGCCATTGCTTAGTCACCGCGACGCCTACTACGACTCCAACCAGAAGACCAGCCATGAAGTGCAGGGAACTAAAGAAACCTCCGTCCTTGTAACTCCAGAGCGAAAAATGGACTGTGGGTAGCGTCAACTGCTCTACATAGCGCTTGTGACAGCTCATGGAAGCGCTCAAGTTGGTCACCACATCCTTGGCAGCGTCTTCAACGCAGGAAGACGAAGACACAGATGACGCGTCGTCTGAATTATTGAGTTCCAACACATCGCCGGTTCTTCGTCGTGGCAGCGGGTTGGAGGCCACGGCAGCGCGTAGCATCTCCCAGTCGGCCAGCGAGTCTACGCGGAGTCGGGGGACGTCCACTTGGTTTAGCACAAGGCCCAACACGCTGCAACAGCACAAGGGATGAGACGATGCCATCGATTATCAGAAAGCCGTGAAAGGACGCACTGTTCGGCCTGATTTGCGCGGTCCGTGGCGCGCCGTGCGCGGTTCTGGGCCAGCAGTAGCGCGTCGCTGATGCGGCGCATGGAGCTCATGTCCAGCTCCGAGGCTGTGCGACGATGCGTGGGCTCTGGCATGGGGGTTGAATGGGAGGAGAAGGAAGTGCGAGGTGGCGAGAGGAAATATGCGCTTAGGCTGTTGCTTGGAGCAAACCTTCTCAAAAGAACCTGGATGTAAGCGTGGATTTGACTGCAACAATTGATCACTTCGGGAAGAACAAGATATCGCTTTTCAAATGAAAGAAAACGCTGGTTCATTGAATACTATTCTACTTTGCGCATATCGTTTTCAAGAGGGTACTATATATGGAAAGGATTGAACCGGCCTTTTTATGTCAGAAACCACTGCAACCCTAATGAAAAGCCGCAATAAAGGCTTCACATTGGCCGAAAGCCCAACACGACAACACCAATCGGAATACAACTGCACAAATGCACGATGAAGGATTGCGGGCGGCATCCGGCTCGCATCATCGCCACCGTTATCGACTTGCCACGAGAACTTTTCTTCTCTGAACGTGGTTGAGCCATGGCAACCAACCATGAGCGTCCACTGCTTCCTTGTTTCATTCGCTTTTCCATTTCGCTAGCGTGGCCATACAAACGAGATGGCTTCGCTCTTGGTGGGTGAAACGCAAGCCGCATCCTTCAACAAGCTTGAACAACGAACACAAACTTTGCATGTCCATTCACTTTGCATTTTTCTGCCAACCGTTTCTTTGCAATCATCGAAATGGCTACACTAACTTCAACCAGACCTGCACGGCAAACGGCTCAACTCTTACAGTCGCGGGGCGACGTCATCCGACGGCGGCGCCGGCACGAACGGCTTACGCGGCGGGCTCAGCTGGGATGGAGCTGGGAACGACTCGGGCACGGCACGTTGCTTCTGCAACGCCAGAGCGTCCACCTTCTCCTGCACACGACGGCCGTAGTGCGGATCGCACTTACTGAAGTTGGCAATGGCGCGTGCCTGAACAGGCTTGGACGCGTTCGCCAGCGAGCCCGCGATATTATCCGTGAGACGTTCGCGCGCCGCGACGTCTAGCGTTTTGCGGTAGAACTCTCCCACCTGCGAGTAGTTATCATCATCGTGGGTCGAGTACTTGTTCACCACCCCGTGGTTTCCCTGGTAGGCTCTGTAGCGCAGTGTCGTGTCCTCAGGGGGTACATTCTTACTGTTCGGGAAGTAATTGGGCGTGTCGTGCATATTGCCATTGACAGCCATGAAGCCATCGCGCTGGTACGTCTGTGGCTCCTTAAGTGGGCGATTCACTGGAATCTGGTTGTAGTTGGCACCCAGACGGTGGCGCTGTGTGTCCGGATAGGAGAACAGACGGCCCTGTAGCATTTTATCAGGCGACGGCTCGATGCCCGGCACCATGTGCGACGGTGAGAACGCGATCTGCTCGATCTCAGCGAAATAATTGGTCGGGTTACGGTTGAGCACCAGGCGGCCCACTTCAATGAGTGGGTATTTCTTGTGAGGCCAGATTTTGGTCACATCGAATGGGTTTACGGACTCATTAGCCGCCTGCTCGGTGGTCATGACCTGGATGTACAATGTCCAAGACGGATACTGCTTGTTGGCGATAGCCTCGTACAAATCGCGGATAGAATAGTCCGGGTCGGAGCTGGCCAGCTCCGCTGCCTTGTCTACAGGCAAGTTGCGGATGCCCTGGTCTGTCTTGAAGTGGTATTTAACGTACACGGTCTCGCCCTTGTCGTTCACATTGGCGAACGTGTGGCTGCCGTATCCGTTCATGAAGCGGAAGCCGTCGGGGATACCGCGGTCGGAGAACAAGAAGCTCTGCTGGTGCAGCGTCTCAGGACGCAGTGAGAAGAAGTCCCACATCATGTCGTCGTCTTTGAGGTGCGTGTTGGGCAGACGCTTCTGCGTGTGGATGAAGCTCGGGAAGAGAATGGCGTCACGGATGAAGAAGATGGGCGTGTTGTTGCCCACAAGGTCCCAGTTGCCTTCTTCCGTGTAGAACTTGATGGCAAAGCCGCGTGGGTCGCGCACCGTGTCGGCGCTGCCCAGTTCGCCTCCTACGGTCGAGAAGCGGATGGCAACGGGCGTGCGCTTGCCCACGCGGTTGAAGAGCTTAGCGCTGCAGTACTGAGTGATATCAGCGTGCATCACTTCGAAGTATCCAAAGGCGCCGCCGCCCTTGGCGTGCACCACACGCTCCGGGATCCGTTCGCGGTCAAAATGGGCCATGTGGTCGATAAATGCAAAGTCCTCGAGCACCATGGGGCCACGCGGGCCGGCGGTGGCCGACGCCGTGAGGCCGTTGGGTGGGATGGGCGCACCGGTGCTGGTGGTCGCGGTCTTACTCTTCGGGGCCATGGCGAGTGGACGGGAGACTTGCGAGGTGTCCGGTAGATTGAAGAATGCGCGCTCAGGATCTGACGAGATACTGTGGCTCGATAGTATGAGGTTCAACGTGGGTTTTTTGTTTGACGCAAGCAGGACCCACGGAATGGAGTGTCACACAACAATAACCTGTGCTACGAGATAATGCCGTTCTTGAGGTCCAATAAGTGACCTACATTCTAACTTCCATGTGCTGGGCCAATCAGAGGTCGTGATTCCATCACCACAGACTTTAGATGGGTGGTACGGCGATGAGCTACTAGGGCGTCAGTGTCCGATGCTCAGCGGCCGTAGTCTGTCAGGCCAGGAATTCAGGGCTTCTGTTCGCTGCGACCGGATGGGCTGCTCGTAGCGCAACAAGACGCTTCGATGCTTTGCTGAGGAGCTTTCGGCAGTGCGCAACATGAACTCCCAGACGCAGTTGCCAACTTTCACGCTCGCGATCTACGTTGGAGTACTTGCGGGCCTGGTAGTGCTTGCTGTAGCCTTCACAATGCTGCGCGTGTACGCGTATCGCCACCGACTGTCGACTGTCACTATGAGCGCTAGCTACGACGCGAACGCAGACTCGAATAACAACGCGTTGATTGCGACTACGCTGAGTGCGCTAGGCAGCCCGCTGCCGGATTATCCGAGCGAACCACCTCCTACCAGCAGGATGTCGGTAATCTCCAGCTTCGGCAGCAGTCGCTGGCAACAAGTCAAGAATCTTGTCGCTGATATACGCGACCGAGGTCTCGCTGCGTGGTCTTCGCTTTGTAAGCGACTTGCTACACGTCGAGTGGGCAAAAGAGCAGCTTCGAAGCCGGACTACCGCATCTCGGAGGTGGACGTCGAGATTGCTACGCCGTGTAATAGCAATGGTAAAACTCCGGTGACACCAGGTCCGTCTTATGCTAGTCAGCTCTCGTCCAAGTTCCAACTCAGCTTGTTTCAGTCCCCGGCGTCGAATAGCATTGGTATGATCTAAGAGGGAAATTCTCGATTGTAGATGGAGACCAGTAGGGCTCTAGAGGAGCAGCTATATACATACCAAAATCGAGGTCTCCTCACAAAATAAGAAATGGGCTTTGTTACTCCTCCTTTGGTATTACTACTACTAAAATAATAACTGCAAACAAAGACTTACCTTATCTAAAAACCATGAAATGAGAACTCCCCGTAAGCATCAATCCACTATAGCTGCGTTTATTTCAGCCGAGCACGTTTGCAGGCGATCGGACTCGTCACAGCAACCGTTTCGATTTGTGGTGCAGCCTGCGTGGCACTTGCTCGCTTTTGCAGCACCTTCACCGCCTCGACTAGGTTTTCAGCATACTCGATCATGGACGAGTCGCTCCCATTCTGCAATACCTTAACAATCTCCATATCACTATATATGTATGGTGGCTAGTTGCAGCGCAGTCCAACGTTTGTACATCCACCTTGTTTACCAGCAGCTTTATCAGTTCCACGAGACCATTCTTCACAACCCGATCAAGAATGTTCGAAAGCGAGTCCTGACTTACGCTTTGCACCAAATATTCTGCTGCGGCAAGCTCTTGACCCGACGCAGCCTTGAGTATTGCTTGCTCGATCAAATCATGACTGCTATTCCCAAGAAGGACTTCTAAGATATCGACATCACTGCTCATCGAAGCGCAGACCATCGCCTCCACTAGCATAATGTCGTCACTCTTGACAGCGAAAATCCGGGCCATCTCGAGTTGCTGATTTTTCACCGCTATCACCAATACGCGACCAACGTCAAGCTAGCTGCAGTTGGTGGTAAGTAGTTTGGCCATCTCGAGCCTGCGGAATGGCGCGATCGCTTGTATTGCTCTGCGGATTTTAAAGCCGAGATAAGCCGTGTACTTCTCCTGCCCACCATCCAACAGGAAGCTGACCGTCTTCACTTTACTGCCTTCTACAGCTTTGTCAAATGCTTCACCAATATGGCGGGGATACTTATCCAGTAGCAGTTCTGGTATGGGGATGCAACCATTTTTTGCTACTATCAAAACACTTTCTCGGACAGAGCAACAATCTCGCCACGGTGTGCGTTTAAATGTACTCTTGTACCCATTATAGACAATTTGGGCTGGAGTAGGAGTTCTACGACCTCGTAGTGGTTGTTTGACGCTGCTGTCTTCACACTATCACCCAGTGACATGAACTCGTGTTCATATCGACTCAGTAAAAGTGCCACGAAATCTGTGCATCCCGCTTCCGTCGCAGTGCACAGTGCCTTTCCAACAAACCAGTCGTCGGTCTTTTCAAGTAGTAGTTCTACAATACGCTTATGACCAGCTGCCGCAGCTTTATTCAACGCCTCACCAATGCACCATGAATCTGCCGGGTAACCTTTTCGAAGGAACAGTTTCACCACTTCCATGTTGTTACGTGCCACTGCCTCGACGAAAGCTTCTCTGCCCGTAGGGTGCGTTTCCGTCAGCAAGTTATCCACCACGTTCGCATGGTCATTAGCTGCGGCAGCCTTCAGTGCAGGGTCGGGGTCAAGGTGTGGCATAGATATCAGTATTGATTGCACCACTTGGTATCATTTGTTATTTTGCTTCCGCTCTGGCAAACTGGTCTTCCTCTTAGATCATACTTGTAGATTGGTACAAACCAATGTCGTTCGACGTCAAACAAGCTTATGGACGAGAGCATTGGACGGACCAGGTGTCACCGGAGCCTTAATGGTGTAGCAATCTCAACATCGACCTGTGCAGATGCGGTAGTCCGTTTTCGACTCGGCACGGCAAAGTCGTTTTCGAAGCGACGACCATGCAACGATAGTTCTCGGTCGCGTATATCGGCGACGAAACTCTTGACTTGTTGCCAGCTGAAGCTGGAGATCATCGACATTTGGTGATAGAAGACTTCCCAGTATACTCAGCGTAGTAAAGCCTGTAGCTCCGGCTTGCACTCGTCGCGAGCAAGGATGGTGACAGATACGCAGCACTACCGTAAGCTCCGCAGCTAAGCATCAAAGCGTCTTGTAACAAGACTCTTATTGCGTTAGATCCATTCCGGTCCAACGAGAAGCAGCCCTGAACTCACGGTTTATGGCCTGTGGAGTTCACTACTGTTCTGAAATTCGTGTTTGAATAGCTCTCTCATCGTTTTGATAATTCTTTGCATCCCTTTAATCAAATTCAATGGCCGAATGCTTAGTCTACAAGCAAAAGCGAAGCACCGACGTGATAGAGCAACGGATTGCCCCACAACACCGAACATTGTGCCAATTTCGCGAAAATGCTGTAATTGAGATTTTCAGATATTCATGTTCCATGTGCCGATAAGATACCCCCGTTACCGCGACAAATAATTTAAGCGTGAGGTTTCAACATGCAGCTCGGAACCGTTCATTGCATGATCTGAATTGGGCTTGGAGGCGATAGTGGAAGAATAATTTAGCTTCAGCACCCTCCCGCCCCGTCGGATCAATAGTTAATGTGAATTTTATTCATCGACCACGTTGCTTCAACGTTATCAACTCAGATCACGCAAAATACAGTGGAGTTTGTACATTGCTTCAGCCGCCGTTGGTCTGTCTGCTGGGTCGAGTGAGAGACAAGCGTTTCCCAATTCTACAACAGCCTGTGGTCCAGCCTGCGAGAACTGGGCGCGGATCTCACCCATTAGTATGCTTTGCATTAATCTCACAGGGGGTACATTGCTGTTTTCAGCGTGTGGCACATTGTGCGTGTCCAACTCAGACAACACAATTCCAAAAGAGAACATGTCCGCCTTCTCGTTGTATGCTTCTCCTGACATCACTTCGGGAGCCATCCAAAGACCTGTCCCCACACCAGCAGTCATTGTACGATCCTCATATGATCTCGATACACCAAAGTCGGTCACTTTTGCCTCTAATGCGCTATTCAGAAGTATGTTAAGCGATTTTAAGTCACGATGGATCACACGCGGTGACAACGAGTGTAGGTACGTTAGAGCGCTAACCACGTTTAACGCAATGGATAGTTTGTTAGCATCAAAGCCCAGCGGGTGCTGGTCCTCCTTATACTTGTCGAGCAATGACCGTAAGTCTCCACCATCCATATATTCAAGTATCATGCACATGTCTGCTAGTGAGCTCCACGCAACACCAAAGAGATTCACGATGCATGGATGCTCCATCGCCGCAATTAGTTTGACTTCCATTAGGAACTGATTGATATCGAAAAGATTCTTGCGTGATTCTGGAAGAAGAGTTTTGATGGCGACCTGTTTGTCGTTCCAAGTACCCAGATGAACCGAGCCATATGCCCCCCGGCTAAGAGTTTCCAATATCGTGACTTCGTCTCGAGGGATTCGCACAGCCGTGATGTCGTCGTCCTGCCACAGGCCATCTTGTCCATTGAGCTCTGTTGAGGCCAAAACGATAGGTCCATAACTAACTACACTGTGAGGCTCAAGTTCATTTCTCCTACTTTGAAAAAGTGTTCCAAGGCCAGTAAGAAAGCCTCCAGCATTGCTTAAAATTCGACCCCGACGATCTGTTTGAGGTTGCGTTGCAGTTGGGTATCTTGGAGGACGAAGTCCAGCGCACATAACGCATACTCGCATTCTCTTCCGTGTTAGCGAACAATTACCGCAGATGATTTCCAAGCATACACGACAATGATGCTTCCGTCGAAACACCGTGAAATCTTTATAACATACAACGCAACTGAGGCGCTCTTCATCATTCACCCACTGCGGTGTAAACGAGTGATCGGCCTGTAATTGCTGAGGAAGGTCGATAGTATGCCCCGGAGACGACGGGCTCTCTGTCGATAGCAATGTTGCCGTGGTAGGCTCTGCAGCTTTTACTCGGAGTTTTTCGCGGTAGCGATAACAACACTGCAGAACACGCAAAGCGCACACAAAGCGCAAATATTTTCTCCTCTCGTTGATCATCCGGAATAACCCAACGATAATATCTGCGGAGACATTGCGCATCATGGATTCTCGTTTCAGGTGCACACTCTTTTTGTAGCGAAATGCTATCTGGATTGTCTGTACTGCATATCGAAAGCGCAGATAATTCCTTCGACAACGCAACGAAATCATTGCACAGTACACTTTACTCTTGGCTTCACGCTCCTGCTCCATATTCTTGTCTTCCAAGAGTTGCTGTGACGATTTCTTCGAGAATCTTATCATGCTTTGGTTGTTGTGGTTTCCAGCTCGTAAAGAAATGCAACACTCTGTCTCTTCACTAGCAAAGCTCGCCAGTTGTTCAATAGCATCTCTCAGTTTGATACGCTTTGAAGGTTCAAAAGCGCACAATGCTAGCACAAAATCCCATTCAGCATCGCTAAAAACGCTTGGTCGAGGGATAAATTGACGATGCCGAAGATGGTCCACTACAGCAACATCTGGCAGGTAGACTCCCCAGGGCACATCATAGGTCATAGCTTCCACTACACACATTCCAAAAGAGTACACATCCGACTCAAATGTAGGCATCTGCTCCTTATAGCCCAGACATTCCGGTGCTCTCCACCGTGTAGCTCCACCGGCTCCTTTAGGCTTTGATTCTGACAACACAAAGCTAAATCCAAAGTCCGTCAGCTTTGCTGTACCTTCACCATTGATTAGAATCTGGTTACATTTCAAATCACCATGAACAATGCCATTTTGGTGGAGATATTCAAGTCCCAAGGCAGCTTCATGGAGCTTACTCCACACTAATTCTCGCCCACGTGACTTTTTCTTGTCAAGATACTCGGCCAAATTTCCATTTACAGCCTCTTCGCAAACGAAAAAGCACGGATGACTGCTGCAACAGGCGCCAAAGAAGTTAATAATATGCGGGTGACGCGCCTTATGCCAGATCTTTGCTTCACGCAGAAAAGCTCTCTTCTCGAATGGTGTATTCACAGTCATGCACTTGATCACCACTTTCGAACCTCTCCATATACCCCGATAGATGCTGCCGTACGACCCGGAGGCAAACGGCTTCGAGTGTCGCTGGACTTCGTGACAAGGGATAAACCATTCCGGTATCTCTGGAATGGGAGCCCCAGACATTCGAGCAATCTTCTTCGACGCGGATTCCAGTAAGTGTTGTGAGCGAGCACTGTATCCGTTTTTGTGACGCATAGCTTCACTATTAAGTAGCAGGAGCGCCCCAGTTTGCGAGGCTGCATCAGGAAGCTCACGGGATAATTCGGACGAGTTCGCTTTCCACGAATTTATCAGGCGATTCTCCACTGCTAACACATCCTTCTCCCACTTTTCCTTCCAATTAAAAGCGATGGAGGTAGAATCAGCAAGATCGGATTGGGTAACTATTCCATCAATATCATCATGAAAGCCTCGTAAGAGACCGAGGATCGTACGAGTGCTAGCCAATCTCTCAACCGCGCTGTGGTTGCTGTGCTGCTCCAAAAACGCGTGAAAGCGAGCGGTGACAAGTGGAAAGGAATCTTTAGCTGGAATAGCCGCAATTTCTTCGTTCTCCGCAAAATAATTCTGCACTCTCTGAAGGCGTTCGAGAATGTCTTCACACATATCCTGAGTCTCCACCATCCCAGCACACAGCACCAGCAGTTCAGGTAGCAAAGTCGTAAAGCTCAGTTCGGACTGTTTCGACTTGTCCTCATCATGTTGGTTGTTTTGTTCTACACACACTTGGACGGTGCATTCAACGCCTTTCTTACCTTCAATTATCCCTGCATTGATCATTCCACCAAAGTACGATGATACCCTGATCCCAGCTTCCAGAACAGTAGTCCACATACTATCTCTACGATAATCTCCCAGTATCGCCACAAAATCTTTCCTTCCATATTTATGAGCCAAGTCCTGCACCGTATTCCCACTCTTGTTCTTCACCATCACATCAGCACCATTCTCCAGCAGCAAATACGCCAAATCTAATCGCCCAGAAATCACCGAGACGTGAAGTGGCGTATCTCCGTCTTCATCGGCTAAATCAACTTTGGCTCCTTCGTCCAGCAACAACTTTGCGATCCGTTCGTTGCCGATGAACACAGCACGACTTAGAGCTGTTTCTCCCCAGTGGTTCGGGTAGTCAATGTCTACATTTGGTTCTACAAGTAGCTGTTCAAGAAGATCCACGCTGCCGTCTGCGGCCGCCAATGTCAACGCCGTCCAACCCTCTTCGTCCCTTAGGTTCACGTCCGCTCTGGCCGTTAGAGCGATTTGAACAGCCTCCGAGCTTCCTTCTCGCACTGCTTCTATTAGATGCCCCATCAACAAGTCAATCTGAGCCTAGTGTCCATAAGCCGAAAAGACAAATGGAATTCGTTGTGCAGCAGAGGTTACCCGAACTGCCCACCGATCCGAACGGGTGGGTATGGGTACAACCATGGTGAAAAATTACCTAAATAATCGAAGTTTTAACCACATATATGTAAATATATGTTCTACGTCATAGTAAGGCTAAAGAGGCTCGCAAAATGTTACTGCACTGATGGACATAGTATATCATGATATGACAAACCATGAGTAGAGGTTGTAAAGGACTTGAAAAAAAAAAACGCACAGAAAAGACTATAACTTTTGCTTTTTTTGTCCTTATTTTTCTGTTGTGCATTAACTAATCGCCAGTATCAACACACTTGCGTCAAAACGTTTATTATTAGCCTAATAATATTAGGTGTAAGAAGTCAACGAGACAGCAGAACTTAGGGCAGAACCGAAGTTTTCCAAAGAAGCCTCATTGCGCTTCTATAGGAAAAACATCAAAATCAAATAAAAGGCCACATTACTACTGCAAAGCAGCCTCATAATAGTAGTTGCTATAAAACATAACGTAGAATGCCACTAAGTGGTCGGATACCTGATTAGATAATTTAGATCTTAACCATTGCATGTTCACTAAATTGTGACTCATTTGGGTGGGCATTCAATGGCTACCATGTAAATTATCTAAGGTATCCGACCACTTAGTGGCAAGTTGACACTGGCAATATGTTAGGTAACCTCAGAGAGTCACGCACGACACTTGAGTCGTCACCTAGGTACATCCATGAGTCAGGCATATTTTATAGCATCATTCTGGAATTCGCCTTGAAGCAGTTGCCATGGAGCTGTTGAAAGCTGCTCGGACCCGCGACTTGCGAGGCATTGAGAAGGAGCTAAGCCACAATGCCGACGTGAACATGATCGACGAGACGGGGTACACTGCGCTCATGTGGGCTGTCAAGAACAGACAAACAGAAGCTGTCACCCTACTTTTCGACAAGAGCGATGCTAATGCTACGCTGGGCGTTTTTGACCAGGACATGTTCGACCTCGCTGGATGCGACAAAGAGATCCTTGCTATCCTACAAAACCATTTACAAGAGCACATAGAACATTTGATGAATAGCATCCCCGAGCTATGTGGAAGTATGATGGAGTTACGACAGATGAGTGAGCATCTTTTGATAAGGCTTCAAGCAGCCCGAATTCAACTACAGCAAACGAAAGATACCACACAGGCTTCCAGTATGGGCTTCTACAGTATCATCAAAACATTCCACTCGCTGCTACTGCAGCACTCGAAGAAGTTGGCGCTGGAGCGTCTGGTTAGTGCTCGCATCGTTGCTGACGGTGTACGTCAACTACATTCGAACCTCGACGCGCTGCTGGATCAACACGGATTGGAGCTTCATTCTCCATTACAACACCGAGACTGGCAGGGACAGTGGGATAAAGATGAAGGAGATGCATACAAACACATCGTAGCAATTCTAGAAAAAGACGCAGAAGGCGTCCCACGAGAACTAAACAGCACCACTCGACAAGAGAATGTCCTCAAACTGTTGAGGTACGAATCGGAAGAGCACGGAAATTACTATGACACGACAATGATGAATATTTTTAAGTCTGCCCAGCTGAAGTTGGTCCGTTTTTCTGGTCTGGCTGTTCCTGAAGTGCCCAATTGGTTTTTGCCTGAATACGAAGTGCAACGTCATCCCACGCCGTTCGCACACGGTTCTTTCGGAAACGTTTTCAAAGGTACTTGGTTGGGATCTCAAGTTGTTGTCAAGTGTGTCGATCCGAAAACAGAAGAAGATAAACGCACCTTTCGACGCGAAGCCAGGATTTGGCAACGAGCGCGTCATCGTCATGTGATCACTTTTTTCGGAGCTTGCGATCAAGGCAGTCCGTGGTTCTTTGTGTGTGAAGAAGCAGCTAATGGGAACCTTAAAAACTATCTGTATCACCAGAAGAACAAGGGGCGATCACTTGCGTGGCGTAAGCTGTACGAAGCTGCTTTAGGGCTCCACTTCCTGCACCAGCGTCAAATTATTCACTGCGATTTAAAGTGCAACCAGATATTAGTGAGTGCAGAGGGTGTCGCGATGCTGACGGACTTCGGTCTAAGCTTCATGTCTGTTGACTCGCGTCCACTGACCCCTCCCGGCGGGGCAGTTCGCTGGAAAGCGCCCGAGTGTTTAAACAACTCGAACCACGTGCCTACGAAGGAGTCGGACGTGTACTCGTTTGGTATGTGTGTGGTCGAGGCGGTGACGGGCGAGTATCCGTGGGGAAATTGTCCAGATCCTGCCGTGGTCTTCCAAATGAAGCGTGGACTGGTGTTTCCAAGACCAAAAGCGTTCGTGGACAACGAACAGTGGCAGTTTGTGCAAGCATTATGTGCACCTGATCCATCGAAGCGCCTCAAGATGCCAGATGCAATCCATCTACTAAAGAAATTTGCTGATCAGGAACAAATGCAAGAGTGGTCAAGCAAAGCAGAAGACCACGAGTTCGACTGAAGTCTGGCTTGGTGTTGATTGCTGCCTTGTAGGCATGGTTTAATGCTGGAGCTCCATTCATAATACTCTCAACATCAAGCTTGTTTTAAGCTCCAGAACTTAGCCGTTTCCACCTTTTTTTTTACTCAAGGAGTGAGCCCACAGCGAGTGAAATGTATCCTTAGGGAAGCCTTGTGATGGCTGGTTGATCATGGAGTGCCAGTTCTTGCTTCGCAGACCTCGTGTATTTGAATTGATACGACGGCATAAATGTTGTTAAAAATAAGAATTTTTGGGCTTTCATTCATACTGGTCGGCTTGAGTTGCTCGTCAACAACTGAATGAGCAAATTATGAGCAGAAGCACTGCCGCTCTACAGTGTAATTTCGATTTCGTATCTTTCTTCACGAACTAGTGTTTTACGTCGCCAGCATTTCTCCGTGATGTAATTGTAAAAACGATGTAGCAATCCGCGCCCAGGCATCGTCGATACCCCCAAGCGAAAAAAAAGAAATGTGCGAACAACAACACGCTTCTTTTCCTTTTTTATGGAGATTATGGGCAAGCTTGGATTTCATTTTGTCTGGCAGAGTAGTTATGTTAGCTCGCAGTATTGACACTAAAACTGGCCTACTCTTACCCAGTGAAAAGCCCCATACGTTAATATAAAGCCTTCTTGGAGTCGCTACTTGTGTTCCCTCTGACAATCGTATATATAGTGGTTATGGTTGTCAGAGACTATGACTAAGTGTCCGGCTGTATGTACAACATTATTGGCCAATTCGGCGCAATGAATCCAAACATAAGTTAACTTGAGAATGGCGGACACATCGGTTTCGTAGTGGCACAACATTGGTAATTAATGTTCCCAAACTCTCTAGATAGCCTTATCAACTTTCTTACTGGAAAATAAACAACCCAATTACTTATTGCCACTCCTGAAGGCATCCACTCAACTTGTTATTGCAGCCCTGCTTGCTATCCTCTTACGTTTGAAACGAGTTTTAAAGCTCGCACGGTGCTACCAACGGCTTCTAAAAAATCATGACCAGAACCAAGATTTTGATTCCTTGTTGTCTTCGTAGTACTTCGTGTAGCGGCTGAATGTCCCAAAGTTGGGGTCCGTCGCTACAGTTCTTGTGTCCATCGAACTATTGAAATACATGCTGTAAATATCTTGTGGACGCTTCCCTGTCTTGAACCAATAGCGGAATTTTATATTCTCTTTAACGCGGCGCATCGATATTTCGTACCACTGCCGCTCCTCGTTGATAGTTGATAATTCGCCGGCCTTGTCTTCGCTGTTTCTTTGAACCATGTGATCGGTTTTATCGATGTAATTAGTACCAGCTAACTGCATTGTCGTGGGCATCGTTTGAGCAGCGAAGATACAATCTCTATGTATCAGCAATACAACACCGACAACCAATGCGGAGTAAATGCTACGCATGATTGTTGATAAGAAAGTTGTTACTTTCGAGGCACTCTTGATCACTTGGAAGCAAATAGGAAACTGTGCTTACAGATCAAACGTTATCCACAAAAGAAGGCAGCCTTCACCAGTGTTATGACTATACAAATGAATGCTAACAACCAGGCCAATTGTTGACGGTAATTAACTGCAACAATCTGTTACTGTAGGCTTAGATTTCCGTCAACATTGTATCGTCGTTGGCAAAACTAAGGATACAGCTGTATGCCTACTGTATAGTTTTTGCTAGAGAGCCGACGGTGTGGAAACAGCGACCACGAAACGAGAGAAATAGTACTGACACACAAACAAACTAGCTGTTTCACACAGAAGGATGGGCGACGTTGATGACCATAGCCGCGCTATGAGGCCTTAGAGAGGCGCCATGACAACCGGAGCGCAGCGGAGGTCTGTCAGGGAACGGCGCGTAGGCCAGAGTAGGTTCCGATACAAGAATTTACAATCTAATCCGCGCGGGATCCTTGCCCGTCACGAGCGAAGTTGGCGGTGCAAACGCCGCGCCACTGTGGAGCGTAGCGACTACTTGTGAGACTCAATTATGCCTTATTGCGACGCATTGGATGTCAAAAGTATACTTTAGCCAAGACGAATGATTTGCTGTGTGTTTGGACAGTAAATGCATGTGTTTTGCATGTTCTGTCCCACTTTAAGTTCTGTTCGTTCTTTGTATTCACTTGCACACTACGAAAAGTTTAGAGATCGAAGCCGGATCGTTTCAAACGCTTCATTTGCTCAACTGATACCACCGGTGCTGGATACGTACAACATTGAAAGGCGCTTGGCATGATACCTCGTATGTCCTGCGTCCAATTAGGTAAAAAGATCCGAGATGGTCGTTTGAGATTGTAGTCAACAGAGTTACTGGCTAACAGCCAATCGCAGTCGCAGGTCCCAGGTCCTCACTTTAGGAAATCGTCCTACAGTAACCCGCGTCAATGACGCACCGCGAAAGGATAACAAAAGTGATAGGTTGGCCAGAGCCACGCAATTAAAGTCAGGGACAACGAAAACGGCCAACCATAATGGAGCTACATTGTACTCCCAAGAATAAAACTCAAAATTTAAACTTTTAGGATATTTGGGACAGTTTAGGATATCTATCCTGTATGAAGCACGTGCTTCGCTTTAGGGTGGGATTGCGAATGGTGTTGTCCTTAGTGCGTGAGCTGAACAAAACACTACAACTCCAGTGTGTGCGAATAAGGCAGCTAAGCATAATACTACAATGCCATTTCGCAGTCCTCTCAGCCTCAAGCGAAGCATCCTAGTCTGTCCACACGAAAACCCTTCCCAATTCTACATCCTAGACTCATGGACGAATTTTCTTTTTGTGTGAATAATCTCTTGAACAAAATGCGCATATGTGCAACATTACAACACTTTAAAGTTGCTGTAGACGCGAAAAGACGCCGTTGTGAGATCCTTGTCAGCATGGAGACGACGAAGGTGAAGCCTCTTGGCAGCATCTCGCGCGATGACGTTCGTCACACACTACACACGCATTTCCACTCGTCAAAGCCTGCTCCTCGCCCTTCCACTAGCGGTGCTGCATCTCCGCCCGTCTCAACTCGCAAGCGCGTCTTCTCCTTTGTTCAGGTGCAGAAACCCAAGAGTGAAGCCGAGACCAAGCGACTGTTTGGTCACGGAGCCAACGCTGGTAAATACTTCGTCCTCTGTGTTACAGTACAGGACTCAAGTACTGCAGCTAAAGGCGGTGGAGCTCATCTGGAGTTGCATTACGTGCAACTCCTGAGCAACTTGTCAGTGGACGTGCGGAATTCGTGGAATTTGAGAAAACTGGACACCATCGAACACAACGGCATTGGACCGGAGAAGCCGAAGGGAGCCTTTGCATTATTTTTTAGTGGAGAACAAGTGTCATGGCAGTGGCTCGTAGAGACGAGAGAGAATGTGACAGCAATGCATGAGTTTCTCTGGAGCGTGTGCGCTCTTGTGGTCCAGAATACTGTGAGAAAAAAGCTATGATGGGATGTTATTTTGTAGATATTTTAACAGTAGTGCTTGCATTTCTTCTTGTATGGTTTAGACCACACTCCCGAGACTCGTGCGGATTAACGTTGAGGAACTGCATGAGACTGCAAATCGACTAAACTTGCAGAAAGTGTATGATCTGGATGTCGACCTGGTTCATTCTATGGTAAATCTGTGATTTTTTTTTATCTAGATGGTTCTTTTTTTTTTTACGTTGGTGCTTGTGTGAAGGCTAAATTAAAGAATGGATCGCTGAATGATCCAAGTGAGGAGGCTGGCAATGGAAAGAAAGCAATCGATAACAACGCAGGGATCGATGTTTCTGGCTTGCGACTCGCTTCCCCTGAGAGCAATGAAGCTCTTAGTATTCTGGATGATGTCAACTGGAGTGAAGTACAGTTGTCTACAGTTGAAGAGGATTTACGTAAGAAATTACGCACGTTGGAGGATGAAAACATCACGTTCTTACTCACACTGGATGGAGACTCACCATCTGGTAAGAACTCATCGAATACGTCAGTGGACAAGATCCTGGAGGCCATCGACGCCGTTCAAAACCGAATTACCCTGATTCAGGAATGGACTAACGAGTCGGACGAGTATCTTGGACAAACTTCCAGTAGTATGAAACATTTCGAGGCACTAAATAACCAGCTGGAGATGCATTTCAAGAACAGCGTGGCCTTAGAAAAAGTACTAACAAAGATGATGAACCAAGTGGAAGTTTCTAAAGAACACATGCGGATTTTTACGTCTCCAGTGGATATTTTCCCTGGTGAAGTTGGAGGAAGCACAGCTGGTGTCACGAAAGACAGAGGAGTCGACGTAGATCGGGACGTTGGTGTGACGGAGCGGATTAGAAATGCTATAGCCGCAATTGCAGCAATGGATCAAGCCGTCAAGTCTACAAAAGAGTTCCCAGCCAGCGAGATGGTCGCTTTTCGAACGCGTGGAGAGGGATTATCTAAGTTGGCTACAGGTTTTGGCGAAAAACTGTGTGGTTCCTTTGATACTTTTCTCCAGCGGAAGATAAAGCAGCTGCCGCACTCTCGAGCTGGTGATGGTGTTCGAGGACGTGATCTACGTGAACTCTCTTCAGCGTCTTCCAGCGATGAGATGAACTGGAGCTTCACCAACGACCCTCTCCATAACATCCTCGTAGATTACCAGTCACTTTTCTCACATGTAAACTCACTGGACCCTCGCATTTTGGTCGCCTTAAGACAGACGTATAGCAAACAACTCGCTGGTATATACAACGCCCACGCCCACTTGCTCTTCCGCTGCTTGAGGGACAAACTGCCTCGAACATCAAAGCACCATTTCCACAAACCTACTTCGATACAATCCCGGGGGATTTACCTTTCCTCCTCGTTCTTCAGCGTCGGTGACACGATGTGTGCTTCGCCTTTGATGCAGCAAGCACTTGATCATCTAACTCCTCTGATTCTGAGAGAACAACGTCTGGTAACAAGGGTTTTCTTTCCTGCTACATCGGATAAGACGAGTTACACCGGTGGCAAGCATGAACTGGAAGATTTGACGTTGATGATGGAGAATGTCTTTGAAAAATTGCTGAAACGGATGAACGAATTCGGCGAAGCAGCAGCAAGCCGCAACATTCTGGATGCGCTTTCGCTCGTTGTTCTCGTGAATGGGAAACTCGAGGAATTTCGACAGCAGAGCGCGTTTCTGTATAACGTTATGGTGAGTTTTCAACTGCAGATGAAGCGAATGTTGATCAAGTTCACTGAAGACCAGGTTCGTTAATTTATTTGAAATGGGTTATAATGTTGTAGCGTTATTTTAATGGAGATTATTATACTATTCTATTGAGTAGGAGGCATGGATAAATGCTCAAAATGTGGACACGAAAATGGCGGGTGTTCTGGGTCCGACGAAGAAAATTGTGGCAAGATATGCACGCCGTGGGGTTATATTATTGAAGGCTAAAAATATTATGTTCATGCACGCAGAACATGATCGCCCGAATGGAAGAAAGCGTAGCAGGAAAAAGCACGGACAGCACACTGGTGTCCATCTACAACATGATCATTCCCTCGACAATGCATTGGATTGATAAAGTGGCTGACACAAGAGCGAAGTATGCAGCTCTCACCCGCCTAGGTACGTTTTAGCACAGCTATAACGAGTTGATATTGTTCTACTAGCACCTTGCTGACGTCGTTTCTCCGCTTTAGAAAACTACCTTTTCCTCAGCGACAATTTGAAAACGATCAATGCCTCAAAAGACTTGCCACTAGCTCAATATGCGGCCGAAGCCCAAGAGCGATACACCGAAAATCTTCAACGGTATGTGGCATCAGTCTGGGAGTACGCATTCAAGCAACTTGTGGTACGTTCAAAGAATTTTTTTCTCTGTCAACTTTCCAATAATTTACGTGTGCTTCGTATATTTCGTCTGATCCAGCCCATGATCGCGTCGATAGAATCCTTGATGGTGACGGTCCCAGCGGCTGAAATCCAGTATCACTTGCCACGCCAAGAAGTTCGACGCGTTCTTGACTCTACATCAAGCGCGGTAAGTCCTGGTTCAGAACGAACCGTAAGAAACAAACTGATAACCTGATTTGTGTTGCTGTTGCTCTAGTTTGAGAAATCAGTTCGCGTCATGCACGACCGCTTAAAGAAGCACTTTCGGGAGAACTCAAAGATATTGCCAAGTGTGTGGAAGCAGGTGATAGCGTATGGGAGTAGTCGGATGGCTGTGTACGCGCTAGTCGCTGGAGACTGCTACCAGCTGCGTTTCGAGCCATCACCTGAGCGCGGACTAGAGTTACTAAACAAGTTTGCGTTCAGCTAGGGTGATGGTTTAACTGCAGCACTCCATACTCTTTCGTATAAGACAGTGGAAACACATTATTGCTAGCTACAGCTCTAGATGTCGAACAGGGTTTCACTGTTATTCATTAAATGTCACCTGAGCCCATAGTTCACTGATTTTAGCTGACGCAACACTATAAATTTAGTGACTGATGGCCTATGCAAAGTTGCCTGACGAAGCGAAGTATCATGCAACCAGTACAATTTTTTCTTCCATGTAAGCTCATCGATAACCAAAAACAATCACGTTAGATATCCAGGTCAATGGTTGGTCATGACTTATGAGTGGTGGCTCACCATTAGATTGAAAACGATGAGAACAACTTCAGGTTGGTTATGCAAGAATGAACACTCCCCTGCAACTTCTTTCAGGGAAAGTAAAGTAGAACTGTTGGAAAGTGTTCTCACAGAAAACACATTGGAAGCCTTCAACAAATGTCAACATAACTACATAACGGTAACGTATAGGGGCGCAGATATGAATGACTTGTTACTCAGTTCCCATGCATGCAACGGAGACAACAGGATAACCCCTCATCTCACATTTTTTCGACACGACTCGGTTTTATTATAACAGTGTCACCCTCACCAAAACTATTCTTTACGCCGGATAGAACAATTCTAAGCGGACACGCAACTGTTACTGGTCCAAGTCCTCCCAGATCATAGTATCGCCTCAAGTGCAATTTCGGACCAGAACCGAACAGAGAATTATTGTTGTTCGCTAGTTAGATTCTATTTTTTTTCATTAACTCGCACTGTGAACAGCTCTATGCAGTTGCAACAGCTTCTGCCACCTTTTTGCTGCAGCTTCGGCAGCCTTTTTGGCGTTCTTCTCTTCCTTTTGGACGAAACTTCTGAAGAGGGCATCGAACGCAGCATATCTCTTGCTTTTGTCTACATTCGAAATAGTCGCAATCGCTGCACTGAACTCATCGGGAGTTTTTCCGCTTTTATACCACTCCGTGAATTGACGCGTCATTGGTTTTGTACCGGAAACTTCCATCGCTGATGCTAAATCATCCAAGAGCTTTGTGTCGAGCCAAGGAGTCAGATTTTGGTTGAATTGTACGGCTGTTCTTGCATTGTTGAGTTTATCAATAATCTCCATGTTCTGGACAATTTTCCCGTTCGCTGATAGCTTCGCGATAATGGCCTTCGCATTATTTTCTTCTTTCGCCAACTGCTCGAACAAGTTATCCAAGTTGTACCTCTTTAGAGTAGTCACGATGTCCTCTGGGTCTACTTTTAAGAGGCTCGGGATTGTTTTCGAGTCAATGATCGCCGCCCGTTCTTCGTCGCTAGTGCTGTCCACCATGCCCGCATCGCCCATGCCGTAATTTCTCAGGTAGCGCTTCTCGGTTTTCATCTTCTGGATACCTTCGGTCGACTTGGCCTCAGCTTTAATCACAATGATACTGGCGAAAACGGCCAAAATAACAAGACGAACACCCATAGCTGATTATCGCTTGTGTTGTGCGAAGCTTGTATAATTTGTGGAGTGAGCTCTAAATGTAATAGTGCTAGGTAGTTTTGCCACTTCGCCGATTCACTGTCAGCAATCGGCGGGTACCACATGATTACTCTTAAATGTCTGTGACGCTGGGTCATCGATCGCCAGTAATACTTTAAGTAGCGATTTTTAGTGATTACTGACAGTAACGAGCCTCGCCGTGAAGTACTTGTAGTAGCAGTAATATCCTCGTTAAGTTATATATTACTACAGCAACAGTAATACAGTACTATTAATTACTGTATTATTCTCGAATCTTCATCTGTGTCGATATCTTCAGATGTGGATAGTATAAATATTATATGGTATTATGCATTTCACTTGTTTTGCCGGGTAGAATTTTAATCCAGGCGGAATTAAGTCCATAAAAAGGCACATTTGATACTTCGAAGTATTAATTAAGCATAAGATTGTGAATCCTTCCCCTACAATACTGACAAGCGTGTTATTTAATAGGGTCAATCGGCGGAGATACGCCTGGTTACAGCCGGAATGGTGGCCAGCAAGCCGCCAAAAGCCTTCATATCCCACTTTGCTGGGGCTTAATTAGCTTATTCCGTCTTAAAGTAGGCTCACCATCCCCACCCTAAAACCGGCGGAGATGAAGCAACCCATAATAAACATGGAATTAGCTGACCATAGGGCATAATTAAGGCTGAGAAGGGAATAAAATTAGGCTATAATAATCGCGACAGGATAATTAAAAGGCACATATAGTACTATTACGATTTTGGCTGTTGAATGTTTGCTTTGTTCTTTGAGTCCACCTTCGCACACCTTAGTGCGGTGCCTGCTCATGTCGCGAACCAAGCACTACTACACTATAGGGGATCATCTCCAGGAAGTTTCTTCAAAATTCCTCCACTTCACTCGCTCATTGTTTGGTACACTGCTTTAGCACGGTTTAGCTTCTGCGGCGGCAATACCAAGAAAGTGCCGTGTTAATCATGCTCGCTATGAGGTCACGATTACAAAGGGAAGCCACTCCCATTAGGAACACTAGAATAAGAATACCTGCAACATTTCCGCCCGAAACTCACTTTCATCTTGAATTCAGGCTCCAATTATTTTCAAAATGAAGGGGTGCCGACGCTATTAATAGCCCCTCCGTGTATAACGCAGTAGCTTACTCTGTTTACGACTATGTGAGGCCCTCGCTGTTTACACTGTGATTATGGTCTCGGCAAGGTTTGTCAAGATGATGCAGTTGTTTACTTATCTTTTCGGGTATGATCGATTACTCTTGATGATTAGGTACAAGATGATAACAATCAAGAGCCCCAACATACATGTCCTCGGCAATGAAACATTAATGCAGACCTCCCTTGGCTTATACAGCCCGTGCAACAACTTTTGATCAAGTATAGCAGATTGATCATGTCTAGACGGTTGGTGTGGTTTATATTCCTGAAATTTAGTAGGATTATAATGAAATATTTCAAATCCATAAACTTGTGGAAATATCTGACGATACACCAGACACCCCAAGGTCTCTGTTGTGACCTTTCAGACGCTGGTTTCCGGTGAACTCGGCTTAGAACGGACGAGCACCTGATGCCATGCCGACACATATCACTGATTCCTACTACCAGTAGGTAAAATCTGTGGTTTGACTGCATTTGTCTTGATTCGTCTATCATCACATTGTATCACGTTTCAAGTTATCAAGGGACTTAACAAAAAGCAAGTCTACCAGTTCGTGGGATCAAAATCCTATCTAGTACGTCAGGATATCACGATATAAGAGCTCATCTTAGACAGGTTCATCTGTACGCGTTTCAATTTGTATCTTCAGAATTACAGCTTCCTACGTGATATTCAAAAAAAGAGTATTAAATACGAGGGAAAGAAAAACTATACAAAAGTACGTACATCAATAAGGACAGTTTGTTGTTTCCTCAGAAATGCTATTAAGCCTTCCTACAATACTAGCAGTGAAATCAATACACAGCTATCGCTGACTTTCGTTGTTTGTTGGTCTACGTAAAAGAGTATTGATTCAACAACACAATACAGCAGTACTGCTGTTAATAGCAATTTACTGTTTACATGTATCTTTCCGTGAAGCAGATTATAATAATACTGCATTGGTGCAATTTGAACATACTCCACTATACTTCTGTCCAGTAAGTGCAGTCACGCGATGTACTTTACAATTAAGTGCGTCACTACTGATTGGATAATGGTGCTGCTTCACATGGGAAATGTAAAAAAAAAAGGTATTCTGCTTGAATGAGCCATATGTAACAACTGGCTAAGCCTACCCCGTACTATCACTAACAATATCTCCTGCATACACCTAAGGACACAAAAAATAACAAGCAAATTGGGCGAGTTCGTCTACGATAAGCTTAACTTATCTGTTGTGACCTGGCTAGAGACCGATGTGCTTGTATGGCTTTTAATTGCCTTTGCCCCGTGAGCGGTCGTGCATTTAATGCAGTCTTGTTATAATAATCCTAGTCGTAGCATGAAAATCCACGTCAGTGCGACTTTAACGCCCCCACCATCATAAGGCGATGGTTTGTCGGTTACCATCGAGTGCGCGTTGTTCTTAAGAAACAGTCTGTGAAATTAATGTATAAAACTTGTGCTGTATTGTACTTGATAATTTAAAGTAAAGTAGTACCCAGCGTATTGCGGAAGAATACTAGCTCTTAAAGATGGCAGCATACTTAACATTCGTCGACCACCAACAGGACCAACGTTAAGGATCCACTCTTCGACGCATTTAGGAATGGTTATCAATTGAGTCCTCAACAAACGCAGAGCCATAGCTGGTGACATTGCATACAGAAATGGCAAGATTCACAAACTTGCTGTGTTTTGGCAATGATAGATTGGCTGGGAGAGACAGGCAGTGAAGGTGTGACGTTTGTCTTGTCCTGGTGTGTGCTTGGGTTTTATCACTGCATTTGTATGACCAATGCAGCAGCATTACAGAACGACCGGGCATTCCATACTCCACCCTCGTTATTCTTGCGCAGACTGCGGAGTGTAGTAGATGTTTCCCCGAGTCGAGAAGTAAGGCGAAGGCCATCGTCACACTCAGCGGCATTCATGCACGGTTCTTAAATAGTGGTACAGCTGCACAGCAAGCTTTTTTTATGACGGAAAGTAAAAGATTGGATAGTCCGAGGTCCACTGCCAAAACAGAAGAGCTCACAGTGAAAAGATGCGTATTAATAGTTAATCTGGTGGCCCGATGGTCGAACTACACTTCAGATTATTTTCATCATTGCCAAGCTGGCCACCTCAACACACAACATCAATCGCATCACAAATACATGTACCTTCGTAGGTATATACTTTCAATGGGGAACGGACGGACTGAACTTTACATATTCAGCACATACAGTACTGTACTCCCTTTTCGCGCCCTTGCCGTGAAGTACTTGTAGTAGCAGTAATATCCTCTTTAAGTTTTGAATTACTACAGCAACAGTAATACAGTACTACTAATTACTGTATTATTCTCGAATCGTCATCTGTGTCGATATCTTCAGATGTGGATAGTATAAATATTATAGTAGTATTGTGCATTTCACTTGGTTTGCCGGGTAGAGTTTTTAATCCAGGCGGAATTAGATCCATAAAAAGGCACATTTGATACTTCGAAGTATTAATTAAGCATAAGATTGTGAATCCTTCCCCTACAATACTGACAAGCGCGTTATTTAATAGGTCCAATCGGCGGAGGACTTTGATAAACTTCCGGAGATAATGCTACTTGCCCAAATATCTTCGGATTTCTATGCTGAAACCTGCAAATCCTATATGGTCCACCCACGCGAAAACGGGATGCATTACTGTACCGACCGGATTCATGCGTTTTGGACATCTTCTCCTAATTCATGTGTTGTTGAATCGTTTTGAGCATTCCATCCAGCTTGTGATTGCATAAAAAATGCCGGTCAACACTTCCTTCCAAAAAGCATTGCCTGCACTTTACGAAACGACAATGCTCCCGTAACGCATTCGGAAATTCGCCCCACCATACGCAAGTGAAAACTCACCGAGCCTGTATCAACAAACGACGACGTCCATACTCTACAGCAAGTATGCGATCACCAGTGCTTCTATTAGTGCTTGCTGTAGCCTCGCTCGTAGCAAGTGGCAGCGCAATCTTCATAAATGGAATCACCAATCGATGTGCTGGAGAAGGCAAAACGGGGGAAACCCGTTTCTTGCGGTTGAAAGACGCGGAAAGCGACAAGCAGGAAGAGAGGGCTCTTAATTTAAACATCTTGAAGAAGATGTTGCCGGGAACAAGTGCTTTCAAGAATGCAAAGACACTCAAAGTGGCTCAGAGGGAAGCGGCGAAAGCTAACAGCGCAGCGAAACGAAAGGCTAAGTTGGATACGTGGTTCAGCAAGTATACACGCGATGAGTATCTCTACAAGAACGCCTTCCCGACGTGGAAAGAGGACAATATGTCTCCAGCTTCTGTCCGACAATACTTTGAAGAACGTGGCATATCGGGTGAGGTGGTCAATACGATTGCGAATCGCTTCGGTGTCTATCAACGTGAAAAGCTTCCATAAATCTCAATGCAGGGTCTTGCCAAACATAGTCGCTCGATTGGGTGCTAACAAAAGTGCCGCTGATACGAAGCAGAATCTTCGTACAGAAAGAGCTGACTATCTGACTCAGTGTGTAAATAGCATTCTTTTATCAAACTACTAGCACTATTTTTTCATAGCTTTAGAAATCGCGGAGGTATATCTCCTCGATCGTGGTAGTGCACGGTCAGTACTTCGGACAGCCTGACACAGGAACTATTTGATGTATGTGCTACTTAAGTTGAGCTCATCCATATTTTATAAATATACCCTTTTAGAATCACGATTTAGCATCAATTATTCGACGTTGGTTATTCCACGAAGGTAAATTCGAAATTTATAAATTCTAACAGGATGGTCAAACAACTGACTACATGTTTTAGGTCCATCTGTGGCTCTTAGCCTTTTTATTATCTACAATGTATTCTGTATGAACCAGAATAGCAATGGTTTTAATTTCACAAGTACGTGCTTCCATGCTCGGGAATCAAGTTGGACCTTGTTCAAAAATGGTGCAAAAAGACGAAAGGATTTGGTAGCCCTCTATG